GCTGGATATATAATTAATGCTCTAGAAAATAAAAACACATCTTAGTAAGAAACCAACTTTTCTCAAGACTTGTTTACCTTGTGATTTATTTTTTTATTTTTTACCTTGTGTATGGGATGAGTTGGGTCCCACTGTTGACACAAGAGCCCAGATTTTGTTTCCGCAACATCCCCCTCATACTCAACACCACTGTGGGTCACTCTACACTTCTTCAAAATGTCTACTTTCTTTCTTCTGAACTTGCTAAACAATTTCTCCTTGATGTTAAAAGATGAAATCATACTTAAGTTTGCTACAGTGCAAAATACCATTAGTACGATCAGTCTCATTTTATTTGCAATTGCATGAATCAAGTATGGCTACACTGATGGTTTGATCAGTGTAGGTAGGAGTACCTATGCAGTCTATTGATTTTTCACTTTTTGTAATAATGTAGTCAAGAAGAGTGAATTTTCCCTCAAATATATTTTTTAACATAGCATTTTTATTTTGAGTAGCCTCTTCACTTTAAATGTTGTATGTCATATGAAACTTCACTTAAAAAGAAAAAAAGTTTTTCAAAATATTGACCTAAAACAAACATCTTCTAGGTTATGTTCACTAAATATACAGCTGATAGTCAATATCAAAGTAAAAAGTTGAATGATTGACAAGTCAAATTAATATTATATAATATACAATTTGCAATTTCAATGTTTTTCTATACTTTAATACTTTTCATTGAAATTGCGACCATATACAAAAACCACCATAATAATAATTGTGAGTTTGTGTATAAAAGAAAGCTTGTAGATTGCAAATTAAGAGTTAAATACATTTTCTGTAAAATTTCCACCGTAATATATTAAAGTGGAGTTTTTGCTGGTGAAAAAAAGAGTAGACTAAATTTGGTTATAAAAAGGTATTTAGTTTTGATATCACCTCCATCAAATTCTTCCAACAATGAATTAAACAAATACAAACTAAATTTAGGTGAGGGGAATAAAGCTTGCTCGTTTAATATAAAATAATTGCATTTTATTATTATAAACGTCCCTCCACACAATGAATATATAACTACTCTATGGAATACACATTACCAAATTAAATATAAATTAAAATTGCATTATCAGAAATGTGATTTTTGGATAGCTGGATAGAATACACATGCATAGTTCCAATTAAAAAATATGTATGAACTTAGATTTAATGATAATTTTAAAGATAAGGATTCGCTACATAACCAAAATGTGAACATTATGTAACATTGAGGTACGGTACTAAGGATTTTGTAAAGAATAAAACAGATTAGATAGACGAAAAGAGAAGACTAACAAAATCTTGAGTACAAACACAATTTATATTACAGATGGACGTGTATTAAGGCACTGGTTTGAATTTCAACAAGTTATTAGCTATTTTTACAGCACAAAATAAAAATGTTTTACAACACCAATGGTAAAGCACATTATACATCCATATCAATGTAACCATAAATAAGTAGCATGTTTATTTTTAAAAGAGTTGAACATAGAGATGAATATGATAAAATGTTTTTAGAGTTAAAACTTGTGGTAAACTAATTTAAAAGGTATATAGACTACATTATTTATAGCTATGATCACAACCACAAATAAAGGATTCAAAGCATCCAAATAGTAGTTCAAATACCCCTGCCGCAGCAAACCCAAATTTCTAATTACCCGGCTGGATTTCTACTATACTATTCCCTAAAAATTGTCAGATTTATTTCCTATTTAACATTCATTTTAGTGAGTACTTAGATTTGCTGCTACGGGGAAGATATTGAGGGGTGCTTTTTATTGAAATGTTGATAGCTTAGTATGAAATAAACAAAATTGCCAAATTTGATTAAAATATATCCATAAACAAGCAAACTACAACAGTTTATTTATTCTCCATAAGAATAACATGGGAATTTTAAATTTAATTTTTGTAAGTTATCTACGTAACCGTTTGGCATACAACAACGCTTCAATATATAAAATTATTTCTTTTTTTAAGCTCTACAAAATAGTTTAAAGAGAAATTATGAAATTTTGTGTTTTTTGGGTAAAAAATGGGAAAAATCAATTTTTACCCCATAAAACCCCGTTCCCAATGTCCGATTATGCTGGTGCGCGAACTCGTTTGAATAAACATAGGTTTACTCGTTTGTACCAAATTTCATCAAAATCGGATCATTTTTGCTCGAGTTATCGCGCTAACGGACATACATATATATATATATATATGAATTTGAACGGATGGTGTTTTTGGCCTATGGGGACTTCAAAAAGAAAAACTTAAACCTCAATATTTATACTTCATTTTTTAACATTTGTAAGACTCTTATCAATACATCAATAAAATAATACTAATAAGTAAAAAAGACTAATTTTTCTTTAATGCCTTGTTAAAAATTTTCATGTATAGGTATTCTATGTATTCGCAGTAGCCTATAGTTATTTTAAAGTAAAAAAAAAACCTTTTTAATTATACAGAAAATATGTTTTATTTTAAGGCAAAAAATTTTATTTGAGAAAAAAAGTAAAGCCTTCAGAAATTACAATATATATGTAGGCCTATATATACAATCACAAACTTATCAAATTATTCTAAAGCACCTTTTCAGAGAAATTCATCCCCTAGTACAATAAAATTATAACTAAGAAGACAAAACACGAGGTATACCTAATAACTTAACAAATAAATAAATATAAATATGCTTATTACTATCAAAACCTTGCATTCTGATGTCATATGTGAATATTAATTTTTTTAATTGTATTGTAAATATGCATTGCCTCCTCTAATACAAGCCCACAGTGAGACAAAGGTGGCAATACCGCATTCCCGGCCTACTGAAACAGCTGTAGTTTTATTCATAATGCAGAAACTGTACAATGTTTATGTTTACACATTTTGTTATTACTATGATCACTGTGGCAATAAGCCGGTCGTAGCGACGTTACCACACACTAATGTCCCGCCACAGCCTTGTATTACAGGAGGCTATCAAATATGTCTTCAGCAGGCATATTTACCGTGTATGAATACCAAGATCAACTACTGAATAAAAACACATAAAAATTCTTCACCACACATATTGTTAACTATATAACTCAATAAATTAAGACAGTAAGAAGAAAATCTAGTACTTAAGTTAGGTGTTTTTCATTTTTGTTCAATTTTCCTTGTTCTGATTTCCTGTGTTGCTATGTCTATGATTCGCTCTTATATTAAATCTACAAATGAAAAAAATATGCTTTAAACTGGGATTGATATATAAGTGTTTAGATAAATCTAGCAAAAAAAGGATTTGACCTCTTTAATACCAACTTGAAACAAAACTATGAAGCAGTTGGAAAATAAAGGCTTTGATTTGATTAATCTATCAAATATGTAATCATACAACAAAAAATAAATAGAAAGCTATATTAGATTACACGTTCTACACTAATACGTCTGTTACTTAAGTAAACAGCAAACAAGACAAAATCAAACTACATTGTTGTTGACATAAGTATATTCTTAAAACAGAATTTCAAAGATGGAAAGTCAATACAATAAATTAGGAACTGAGAAATACGTTTTTCGCACATTGAGAGCAATAAAGCTTGTTCTTCAGCATAGAGCTGATACAAACAAAAGGATAGAGGTATAATAGTTTGTTTATTAACTAAAATAAATATTATACTCTGTGACAGAATATTAAAACTAAATATACATAAATGCTAATACTACAAAAGCCAACATTTTATAAAAATCACCCATAACAATAAATATTGATTTAAACTTTGACTCAAATGTTTAACAATCACTTCACAGTTTACACCACATTATTCCAAGCACCGTTTGTAGTCGCGAACAAAATTTAAATAAGAAAAACGATCAACTTGCATCGTTAAATTCTATTGTGATGAAAAAAGCCAAAAAACTAATATCAACATGAATAAAAGTGAAAAATTATATAGCTTACAATAGCATTACAATACTTTCACTTTCTGTATAAAAATACATTCACAAACAAAGTCAAACTAGCGCTATACTAAATTCAAACCCTGAATTTGAGGAGAAGATTTCAATTTGAGATTTGATTGTTTGGATTCAAGAATCAAAACTCGAATCTCAAATTTAGTTACACCCGTTGTTCTGGTAAAATTTGTAATTAATTTTCATAACAACATTTTTTTACACCAGTGTCCAGCTAATCCAAACTAATAGGGACTGGACTTAGTTGGGATTATTAAGTTTTTCATATAACTGGAAACTCAGTACTGTAAAATATATATTTATACAACTGAAAATGGCCATATTTTGCTCCCATGATCTCAATAATACCTTGATCATTGTCTGCAATTACAGTGATCGTCTTGATACAGTGATCGTCTTGATACTGTGATCGTCTTCTGCGATCACAAAAATACGCCTTAAATTTACAGGCCTTACATCAGACATCAAAATACTTCCCGGTTATCCCGGTTGGCTGAGGATTGAAGCTCTGGGTGTACCACAATTTTAATACTAGTGTATTCAAGTATTTAATTTCAGAGTTTTTTTGACAAGGCCAATGGGGTTATAACACGTGTTATAAGTTAGGCCAACACACATTGGTTCACCAACTTATCGAGTATAGGCACGTGAAACATTTTTAAACTTCACAAAATCAATGTAAATAACCATTCCACACTGTCATTTCATTGAATGAAATAGAAAATTCCCTTGTTAACAAATTTAAAATTTGGATTAAATTACATCTATGTTCAGTTTTTTCATGTAGGCCTACATTAATGTCATTTTTTTATAAGGAACTAGACGTAATACTGGGTGAAAGAAATTGGTGTACTACGAATAAAGTTAGCAGTATTCTTAAGACTAACACAGTAGAGAGTCGACTATCCAAATTAACTGGGGATTGGGGGTGTTCGGATTGCTGATTCGATTCCTAGGTAATTCGTCATTGATAAGCAAAGATTAGGTATAATATTTGAACTTCATTGAAAAAAATTGAATTTATTGGTACAGGTATTTTTTACTGGTTCATTGCCATGTCTGACCTAAACTCCCTCTTTGATTGTTGACCACAGACATGAATATTGTGATACCTATTATTGTCGAACACCGGTCAACATTTCAAATCCATATTCTCAAGCTTAACTTGATCAGAGCACCTTTTTTGACCTGCGCCAATACAAAAAAATTATCAGAAACACTTTTTTGTCCCACCTTTGAATCATAGAATTTTTGCTCTCATCCAAAACTGTTTTGCATATGACTTCAGGTTAGGCCTAGATGGTAGCAGGATTATCATCCACTTATATTATATTTTATGCTCCAGCCGCTGCTCGCTTAACTATAGTCGGGACCACGTAAGTTTGCAGTTGGTGGCAGCCAATCACAAGACAAGGCTGGTGGGACGTTGCCACATCGCCCGTTGACAACACTAATCAAAATATACTAAGCAATATATTAAAATCAGCTGGTATTAACAGATTTGGCAACACCGCACGGTTCTCATTGGTTCATTCAAAACCATATGGTAAATAGGCTCCTCCCTCAACTGCAAACTTACGTGGTCCCGACAATAGTGATTAATATCTGATAAAAATGAAAAAAGTAATTAACATCCCATTAAATTTTTTTTCCTACAGTGGATTGCATTTTTTTTAAGACCCTAAATAGGATAATCAACGCTCTACTGTGGTTAGGGGTTTGATAAATTTAGCTCAGCTTTTATATTTCAAAGCTAACAAAGTCAATATTGTTATTGAAACTCTAAATATTCTAGGCTATCATAGTCTTTGAAATATATACTAAAATGGTTACTCAGCATATAAATATATATATTTATAACATTTAAGTTTAAAAAGCCTTATTCCATTTAAGTTCATAATGTTAAGTAGATGAATAATTTTGTAAATATTAAAAACAATAACAGACTGCAAACTGTATCTATTTATTACAAAATAAATTGTGTAAGGTTTAAAGAGACTTTTACCAGAACTTAAAGTTTTACTGACATTTACACCGATACATGATTTGTTCTAAAAGTGATTTTTGTTAATCTGTAATAAATTCTTAGCTTAGTCAAATGGTGGCATCTTATTAACAATAGTTTTAGTCAGTTAAGTTAGGTCTTGTTACGAAGGCACTATTTGTACTTATTACAGTACAGTACTGTTAATTTTTTTATAAATGGTGATAGAAATCAATAACTTGACTGAAAGTTTATCAAAGTGACTTAAGTTTTCACCTTTTAATGTAAAGGTAGATAATGTAATCCTGAGAATCAGTTGTCATTTGTTATCAGGCTGTTAATGAGTGATATTACCTATCAACATAAGATAGCAAGAGTTTTTTGTCATAATGTATACATGTCATCAAATATCAACCAATATATCTTTTATCATAATTTGTTTAAAAAATTCATAAAGTAGCCTACATCTTATTCAAGCCTAAATGTTTTAAGTATAAATTACATTGCATTTTATGCAGATTAAAGCTGATTTAATTACATACACATAAGTAATACTGGTCTATGTTTATAACATACAATAACTGGATTTTATGTTTTCTCCTTGCAAGATAGAAAATAGGGCTAGGCCCAGTGGCGGATCTCCAAATTTTGTTTATTTCCTGTGGTCGTGTGGACATTGTCATTGTCTCTCGTGGTCACGGCAAAACCCTGAATAACTCCCGCAGTAACGGAACATCACCATCATCTTTGAAGATCGCGGCAAAATTTTGACATTACATGTAGTAAAAAAATATTTGCCCGAGGTGGGGACGGTCGCCCCCTTCGCCCCCCCTCTGGATCCGCCACTGGCTAGGCCTCTATCAAAATGAAGATAAAAATGGATTTTTAGACAATACTGCAGCTCTTTTATCAAACCATAATGATATAACATCAAAAATTATGATACTTGTGAATAATGAATCAATAGTAGGCACAAAAATCACACATTCAATTTGTTTCTCAAAAGGCAAGTTTAACTTCATTATCATTAAAAAATAAATATTAGGCTAAACATTTTTGGGAAGGGAGATCAGTAGTAGTAGTGTACTACTGTAAAAAAACTTAGAGCTAAAATTGTTTTAAATAAATAAATATGTATAAACCACAATAGTATATGATAAAAATAAAATCTGCTCCATATACTTCTAGTTTGTCATGATAAGTCTGTAAATTATAAATACTTACTTAATATTAAACTTACTGTAAGGCCTCTTTTTACTTCCACATGTTTACCAACAAGGACTTTCAAGTAGTGACTTGTGCAATGAAATGGATTAATTTACATGGCTCTCGCCATGAGTGTGTTTTTCTTAGTATAAAAATGTTAAACTTTTACTACGAAGGAAAAACCTCAAAAGCTTAGCTATTCTATCTCCCACCCTTAGTTAAGATTCCAGCTTCAATGCCGATGTATGCATCGTGTTTATGTCAACTGATGAGAGAGGGTCATTCGTTTCCATTTTCGAAGATTTTGTGTCAACATTTTGAGATGACTCTTCGTTGCAGTCAGTATCGACATCAGATGCTTCGTTTTGTTCCTCATTTTCTACTTGAGAATCAGTTTCATCATTTTGCACGCCGTTCTCAACTTCTTCCATCGTAATAGTGAGCTCTTCTCGTCCGTTGCACACTCCGTTCGGTTTACTGTTGGGTATATTGTTATTCGTCACAGACACCAAGCTTATCTCAAGACTCTGTACTTTAGCTGTACGAGGAGTTTCATGGATATTGATCGGTTGAGCAGACTTGACCGGAGATCCGAGTACTTTTCTGATTTCCACAGTTTTCGACTCGTTTTCCATGTCCTCGTCCTCTTGTACAGATCCGCTCTCCGAAGAGTCAACACTTGAGGCTTTCTCATCCAACAGAGACGGATCGCAGCCCTCGCCTTGGTGCATTCTCTTCACATGCCTCAACAGAGAAGACTTCTGCGTAAAGTCTATTCCACACAGTGTGCAGCTGAGTCTCTCTCCTGTCTGCGTGTGTGTCGCCATGTGTGCCTTGTATGAGTTCTTGTCTGGGAAGCCGGCACCACACACCTTACACAGGTGCTTCTCCAGTGCTAGAGTAGGGTCGTGGTTTGCATGACTCGACTGTTGATGCACGTCTAGACTCTCTTGACTCTTGAATCCCTTGTTGCAAATGTCGCACTGGAACTGCCGTGGCATGCTGTGTGTCACTGTGTGCCGAAGTAGGTTTGTCTCGTCTCTAAATATCTTGTCACAGTGAGGACAAGGATATGTCTTGGCTTCTGCGTGCACTCTCATGTGTCTCTCTAGATTAGCGAGTCGGTTGAAAGACTTTCCGCACTCCTTACACTGGCAATACTCCTCCTCCGAATGGCTCTTCAGATGCAACGCGAGACTGCAGTTGCGATAGAACTTTCTTCCGCAGATTTTACACTCGCACGTCTTCTCTACTGAATGAGTTGCGACAGAGTGTTGCCAGAGAGCGCCCCTGTTGGAGTAAACATTTGGACAATGTTCGCAGGGATAACTAAACTTATTTATATCTTGCTTTTTTACTCTGTCTGGCTTTGTTTTTTCTACCTTGGCTACCGAAATGGGGAATATACTGACAGAGGCTGCCTCTTCAGTTTCCCCGTCTGATTCATGGTCGGAGTAGACAGCTTCTACGCCTGACAGAAGATCTTGTATATCCATCCTCTCTTCCAGCCATTCGGATCTGTGCAGCAACTGAAATGCAAAATATTTTAAAATACCAGTAGGGCCAGTAGGCCTGTTATTCATTCAACAATTTAACTGTATCTGTTTCCACTATACAATTAAATGAATTACATGGTTATGCTAATAAATTCCCCTTACTGGTACTTTAAGTTTCAGTTATAATGTAAAACCCAATTGACCTCTACGCAAACAATGTGATCTGCAGGATGAGACAGCAAATCTTCTGCTCTTAGACTGTGAACAGCAAGCGACAGAAAGGGTTGACTCCTCTGGTAAGTTGAAAAAAGGTCAGACAATTCTTTAGGGAAGAGGATCTGTTAGTTTATTAGGCTTGTAGATATTGGGTTAAGTTTCTAGCAGTAGGAGAGTGTAAAAAGCCCAAGTTGCAAAAGCAAATCAGACTGGTCAACTCTAATGATGATGATGAAGCCTCTATTGTATAAAAGAAACAAACAGTAGGCCTAACACTGAAGCTATTGAAATTAAAAACCTTTATTGTAGTGTCACTAAATATGGAAATGAATTTTTATGCCTGCGAACTAATATTATTACAGTTTATTGTGGAGGACTAACTTGGACTATTATGTTTTACACAACTTTCCACTCTTATTGCACTTTTATTCCATACTCTACATGTTGCAACTTTTAGAAAAAAATAAGAGGGGCTGATTAAAATTTTTAAGAAACCCCTTCTATGATGACTCCTAAAGAAAGTGGTGATGATATGAAACTTTATTACAGTTAAGAACATTTCCTTAAGTCCACAAATCAAGTTGACCAACCTGTGGAGGAGGAGGTAAAAACTGCTGTATTGCAGGATTGATCCTGACAGGAACAAGAGGAGGAGGCTCAGGTCTGGTGAACACCTGCAACCATAACATTCTATTAGAGAAAGAAGTGATAGATTTCTATAAACCATCGACAATCAACTGTCCAGTATCTACTGGTGGAAGCTTAGAAATCTAAACTAGCCTATTTAGAATTCTAGAAAAGTTAAATTAACTATCTGGTATATTTAAACTGTTCTTTTAAGCTCAACATGATCTGTGTGTTGTTGGCCTTTCTGTTTTGCATTCAAAAAATTGGTGAGTCGGTGGCTCAGTCGGAAGCGTCACGGACTTCGGTCCCAAGCCAGCGATGTCGTGGGATTGGATCCTGGTCACTGCCGAAAGCATTTTATCAGTACAGTTCACCTTTGTACTGTACAGACTCACCCCTTGCTTTGCTGGATACGTTCCACGCACAGATCTGTAGTCTATGTGGACGGGATAATGCAAGGTTAAAAGAGGCCGCCAACCTCTTTTTGAATAAAAAAAGCAATTTTGGCTCATGTAAGGCAAGAGTATGATTGCTCATTACTTCACCAATTTTATATCCAAGAATACCGTAAGAAGTATATGACCAAATAATAAGGTATAAAAAAATGTTACTAATAACACTAGGTACTGTAGGGTACAGTTAGGCAGTGGTTGACTTTAAGAAATCAAGTTGACTGTTCTGAAATATATTGAGAGCTACAACCCCTCTCCTACGTCCCCCCTCCCTTAGGAAAATTGTAGGATCGCACAAAAAGAAAACAGTAAAACAATAATTAGCATTGAATATTCCATTGGATTTTTTTTTAGAAATTATTGTAACTTTTAGAAATTTGTACTTGAAACATGACGGATATGGCGATAGTGTAGTTAAGGTGAACTTGTTAACAAAATAAATTACCGCAGGTAAATTATCAGTGGGAAATATTCTCTGTTCTATTGTGAGGTAAAAACTACTATCATCATATATATTCTTTTCTGTTCACAGTTTCAAATTTAGGCCTATCGATAGAAAAATGGGAATAACTTACCGGTGTCACTTTTGCATCGAAGCACGGTTTTCTAATTTTTTCACTTCTGTAAACAACATTGTATATTAATAATTGTAAAAGAATTACCTATTACACAATTACCTGTTACATTGTCTCAACTATATTGAAATGTTGATTATAATTTAAATAATAAATAGGCCTTATCACTGTGACTCACAGTATTTTCAAATTAATGTCCACATTAGAGGAGGATTTGGAATTCATATCCACATCCAATTCCACATTGCCTGTGGACCACAGAGAAGCCCATAAGCCTTTTTCAAATGCCAGTTTGCTGATACTGTACTAGCAGCAGTCCTAGGAACATCAGACCATCTTAAACGCTCCTTTACCTTAAGTTTGCTTACGCTTTTATAACTACTTCGTGAAAACGCCCTGTATCTATGAATGAAAACCCTTTTACTTACTGAGTGGCAGGTGTTCTTGAAATTTCTACAGTGCATTCAGCGAGCAATGCTTTAGGAAGGTTCTTCGTTAAATTCCACATCTCGCTCTCAGTGATAGTGTTATTGCTATGAACAGAATATTGGTTTTGCCTGAAAAAAAACAAAAATTATTCTAACAGCTTAAGGCCTATAAATAGATACGGTACTTCATGAAAATTCAAAATTGTTAAGCATGATCTCAGTTTAGGTTCAAAATTCAAACTATCCAGTGCTAAAAAATTGCTAAAAAAGAAACCAATTTGAACACTACCATATCCCTTTCAAACCCAGCACACTCATTTGTGTAGGTACATAAGTCCTGACAACCTAACCAACACGACTGTGTAGGTTAGATGTTTATTTGTTTTTTTTAAGTTTCTGGATCTTCTGTTGCTCAGACCTGTACGCATCGATTGTGTAGGTTATGGAGATCAGCTGGGAATTGTTGTTTTGCAGTCTGCCTTCATGTCTTATGGTAACACTGATTGTTTTGTTGCAAAGTCACGGTAAGATAGGAGAAAGAGACAACTGTTAAGGTTATTGACTGTTTTATTTAGGTTTTTAAACGTATATACGGTAATGCTAATTATTGCTGAAACTGAAATGGTTAATATGGTACTATGAAGGTTTTATCTTTAAAACAAACCTAATCAATAATTTTAGTATTTGAAATCTAGGTTAAAAACCAACATTAATTCAAAATTTGCTCAGGACTTAAAGCGGTCGAGATGACTAAGATTCCCGGGTCTGAAAGGGATATTTGTAGCCTACATTAAAGGGGTTCAAGAACTGTTAAAACCATATTCTATGACTAAAATTATGTAAAATCAACCACATAACACTGATGAAACCCAGCAAACAATATTTCCTGAACATGACAATATTTTCTTTTACTTGAAACATTGTGGCCAGGAGGAAACCGGCGAAGGAACACCATTCTGTTCATGAAACACTTAGCCATAGGCTGCTAAGAATTTTTTTTTATGTCAACTGATCCCATGTACACAATTTGCAAGCTCTTTTCCTGATGCAAATTTTAGTTTCATATAGCCTAGCCAAAATGCAAAACCCACACTAGTAAATAAAAATGATTGAATGAGGAAATGCTAGGATTCCTGGTTTTCTCAGTTTGTAAAACAAACATTAATATGCTTACAAACCATTTGAAAAAATTGTATTGGTTTTGAATAGCTAGGAAATATTTTGTTTCTTATTCTCTAAAATTTACTAAAGTAAATTAAAGCAGTAAATTTAAGGCAGTAAAGTTAGGCCTAATTAAAAATAATTTTTGCCTAGCTGTATTTGTTTCTTCTGTTCCTGAATGAACTTGACACATTAAATATAGGCTACCAATGTTAAATCGTTGTATTGAATTTGAAAATAATTTACAACAAAAAAACTATTTCAAAAACTGATTTGCCAACTTTTCAACGTTGTTTGCAACTTTAAACATTTAATTTGAAAGAATACTTGAACATGTCACAAGAGATTGTGTTTTAAAGCATTTTTCTAACACAAGGGCCAATGCTTGAATAAATAATACAGAACTAAAACTCAAAAACAACACTAACTAACCTTTTAAAAGATTTCTACAGAAGTTAAATAAATGTTTATTTTAATTGTGTAACCTCTCATTGCAGAGTATCAACCGTGCATAATACCATAAAGATCAATCATGTGATCTTGAAATCTCATTACTCAATTTTTCAAGTGTGCAAGCATCTTTAATGATAGCCTACTTGAAGTTAAAAACCACTTTATATTACAATACAAGGGTTGTGTCTGACAGACAACCTAAAGAAAAAAATACCCACCACCTAATACCTATCACTAATTTAGTTAGTAATAACACAGAGAAGTAAAGAACAGTCTAGGATACACTCTATGGTACACTAAGTGGTGTCATATACTAACCAACACAAGTAAACTTATCATACCATTGTAAATTTTGAAGCTAGTTTTTTTGTGTCTAGATCATGTATTGTCACTGGGCGCTAGTGTTGATTACATTTTGTTTCTATTATTTTATGGTTAATTTATGATTTGAGCTTTACTGTTTCGTTATATAACTAGGGGACAAGTTTTTGTTTAAGATTGATTGTATTATATTTAGTTAAACGAGGTTTTAAATTACTAAAAATATCAAGATTACTAGAAAATAGCAGGAAACAGATTGTAAACAAAACACGACCTCTACAGTGCACCATAGGGAACTAACAATAAAATCGGCTTTAGGTGTTCCAAAAGGATGAGAAATCTACTAAGGGAGTATGTTTTATCCACGGTGGTGTTTAAATCCCTAGTGCTGGTATCTATGGCATAGTCCAACACCGCTCCCCTCGCCCTCATGTACTAGCCTACATCACTCTCGGTGGAGGAAGACCCTGTGCCATAGGAATTTCTGCGCAGTTGTTGCAGTTTGGGCCCTTCCTTGATCATCAAAAATATAATTTCGGCACAACATACTAGAGCTGAAAGCGCACGGTTGTCTCATAAGCGTGTTTCCTCTGTTAGCTTACTGCTCTGTGGTAATAACTAGTGGGTAACAAGAATAAGCAATCTGAATTTAATCATTACTAGTATATTGAAGACTAATTTTTGTAATTAGTAAGCTATACTTGTAGCATAGCTCAGCAGTCAATAAGCAGCCTCAATCCAAATTACTTAAATACAATCCTCAACTTATTCTTTCGTTTTTTTAATTCAGGCAGAAAGCCCTTAACTTGTTGGCGGTATTTTATCATCTGGGATTTGAAGTTCGTTTAGGTCTATGGAATCAAGAAAATGAAATGGAGGAGACCTTACTTTTCCTAGGAATTAAAGTTGTGCCTTAACTAGAAGGGAAATAGAAAATAATAGACCTAAATAAATTCAAAAGGCAACATAACATATTATTACCTACCTATCAAGTATTTTAGGTTATATGATTTTACTTACCAAACGGGACGATGATTGTAGGCATTTCTATCCTCATCAGACGCATTTCCATCATCTTCCTCAAGGACAACGCTCAAAAATTGAGAGGGCACCATCATCGTAGAGCAGTGGTGCAATCTAGTTAGTCGCCTACTTTTTCTTCAATGTTTAACCAAACTTAGATTAAAACAGGTTGCTGATACTTTAGATTTATGTAGTAAGGCACATAGAAGAGGCCAGAGTTAAATCACTAAACAGGCATTTTCATCACAGAAATTGTAGGTAAATGTTAGTTTGTTCTCATCTAACTTAACCTGGAACAAAAACAAACAAAAGTTAGTAGGCCTAATTGTAAAAAGGAAATGGATATTAACATTAACTAATGTGCACTTGGTCACGTCGGAATAGTTAATTTTTTTATTTGAATGACTATAGCTTTATTGGTTTACAAAAAAGTAATTTGTTTACCAATTTAAAAAAAGTCTTGGTGCGGTTGACAGTTGCCTACATCTGATCGATAACTTAAGCAAACAAAAGTCTTGTAACAACTAACAACACTAGGTATAAGACACGACACGGGTTGTAATCTTTCATATGCAGTTCTCAAAAGCAAGTTAAGTAGAACCAATAAACTAAAACAATGGACAGCTAGGTAGAAGTTGTTTGGAAAAGGTTACTTTGAGACTTGCGTCTCTCATCAGACATTTAGCAACTGTTGATGGGTGTTATAAGGCAACATAACGATGCCTTACTGAAAGTGTAGACCTATCAAGAGTTTGTTGCAAATTATTTAAATATTGGATTTTCAGGTTCACAGATGATCCGAAATCAACCGGTTCAATCCCTCGTAGTCTAATACCCTGGAGGGAGGAGGAAAGGATACCTAGACGAGTCGAGGGAAGAGGAGGCCGTTGAGGCCTAGCATAAAACCGACAAGTCCTAACTTAGTTGTAGAAAATAATTGAATATAAGCCCTAATTCTTTTACAGGAGGGGGAGACTATGGGGTTAGGGATCCATTACCTCAATATTGTAGATAATTATAGCCTAATATGTAAATTGAAATAATTAGCATTACTTGTGCCCACACGGCACGAGTGGCAAGTTATCACTTCATTCTTATTTCAGTATAAATCCGTAGCATGTATTAAGTAAAAAATCATCAAAATGGCTGTGAGATGTGGCTTGGCTCAGTATTTAATTAGATTAATAATATATTCAATCTCCAAGATGTAGCACGCACGAGTTGACCTTAGGAAATAATTGAGCCTTAAATCAATCCCCAAGAGCCCAGATGTGCTACAGAAATGCAATGAACTTAGTGAGAATAATTACTTAAATTGGTTGAAAGGGTAAAATTAACTTTTTTAGTGAGTGTTTATTTTAATTTAGCCTAACTTTGCAAATTTAGTTTTTACAATGAAAACAAACCCTCTAAGAAGCTAAATGCTTATGATGAAGAATAGTCAGACTGGAATTTTCCCGCCAAAATGAGCTTCGCGTGGCTGCCGCTAGGATTGCTCGTGCGACGGCCGAGCTACTCTAACTCTCTCTTTCTATAGTCTACCTAGCAGCCACAGCGAGAACTGTCCGAAATTCAAATATTCCCACACTGAATTTTTTACAAAGGTGAAAGGCATTGTGCTTTTTAAAGGGTTTGTATTCATTGGCTTTTATTAGCATGAGGTTACTAACTATAGAAACTAGGCCTACTAATGAGTTTTAGGTAGATGTAGCTTACTTAGACCTGACTAGTATTTTAAAAGTACCACACTGTAGAAGTTATCATTTGGGACATAGGGAGTGGTGTTGAAGAACTGGGACTATCTCTCATACGAACAGGCTATTGACTAGTTTTAATCTGATGGGTGACGAAATCCGAAGGGTAGCAGGTACAGTTCTGCAGATAACCTGCGATATATTATTGAATTAATAGGCTATATTGATTTTCATTCGGTTAAAGTTATTGCTCCAAAATATTTTTCCCTATATAAACATTGAATTTTTAATTAATAATCTGACACCGGTACCGGTAATGTTTTTACTGATGTTAACAAAATAAAACTATTAATATTTAACCAAGAACAAAATATATTTTATGAACAGTAACAAAAGCGAATAATGGCTAAAAACAGCAATCAATTAATTTAGAAAAACTTAACAAAAAACCCTACAATCCAAGGTATAATTCTAGATAATTGCCTTAAGAAAATTGAGGAAACGCAAGGTGGTTAGCGAGATTGACAGATTTTACACCCCTTAAATTATTATTAAAAATTCATAGTTTCTTCCATTAGTAGTCGTAAGGATAAAACTAAGTTAACTAGCCTAAGTTAAGGATAAAGTAAAACTTAGCTTGGGTAGGCTACAAGAAAATAAAAAAACTTTTTAATGATTGTTATTGAATTTTATATCATATGGTAAAAATAATTCAATGCAATTTAAGTTTTATTAAGTCAAGGGTGCCCATCCCACCCTAGACTCATGACGCAACCCCCCCCCCCAAATTGAGCAACAGCCCCCCCCCCCCCCCACCACAACTGAGGTACACAACAAATGAGAAAGATTATTCCCCCGCCCAGCATTATTTGTAAAACTAAAATAAGTTTTATACTTTTTTTTAGATATTGAAAGTTTAAATGAGATAATAAAATAAAATATCAAATGTCAAGTTCAAACCCAATTAATCTATATAAATAAAGATGTAGTTTTGTCTGTACATTGATCAGAATTATACATATTTTGGGTTATTTTTACGTTCTATGTACATTGAAGGAGTTGAAACATGTCTGAGGCCTATCTCAATTTATGTCGGTCTGTCAAGGCCCAGACGGAATTTTACGCAGCCTACTCTAAAGAAAACTTGAGTACCGATTATGATTCTAATGGTTTAATTGTATTCACAGGATTGGCGAGAGTGTCCTTATCCATTAAAATATGGCCTCACTATTTTGGAAATAAAATAACGGACGATCAAAAACACAATTTTGTGATTTTTCAAGTTTTTTTCTCCATGTTTACTACATACGTCATTTATGAAATGCTAATAATCTGTTAAGAGAACACGTCATATATGAAATTACGAACAACTGTTTTGATAAAGATTCCTTTTTCTAGCTGTCACTTATATGTTTACATAAATGTGTGTGTGATATCTTTATGAATACTGTGTAGGCCCTAACCATTTCCGATCACGTTTGTAACCATTTCCGATCACGTTTGTAAGCAAATCCAAAACCAAGTGAGATAAATAACCGTGGCTTTGGCTTACATACGGGTTTGATTTATCACAGGTAATATGTAACTGTAAATTAAATTAAATAACTAGCCATCATCCAGGTCGGGAACCGGAGATTCTGTGTGTATCAAGTTGTAATTGAATTTTGATTACCGGGGAAAGACCGTGAATCAGTGTTGTACAGGACTGGAAAACTTATCTTTCTATATAAATAAAATTAGAGTTTTATAAGTCACCTCAATTTAAGGAATTTATTATTGCCAGAATGTAGCGTTCGTAACCTCTGCTTAACGAATTGTCAGCGTCTTTCTCTTGATTTAACGACCCCCTATCCCTCCCTTTTGAAACATCACAGATCCCTTGATGAAAATGAAATGGAAACAACGCTTGCGCCAACAATCGTCTGCTCAGTCTGTCTGCTGTGCGCTATGTTACAACAGATTTCAGATACAACAGCTGGGGAATCAAGGCTCTGATTGGGCAATGAGTAGGCTTAAATAATGGCGACTTGTCGAATTTGTGTATGAATTTGAAGAGAAACCTAATAAATGACAGATGAACAAAGAAAAAGAATAACAATATTGTTCTCGTTACATTCTTTTTTTAAGAGTATTTTTACTATCTCTAAATATAATTTTACACTTTTTTATTACTTATCTATCAATTACTATGTTGTGATACAGCACCTACCGGTAGCCTATCCGTCTATCATGAGCAGTAGCTTATAACACTTTCTAAGGTTTAATATTTACGTTATTTATAGCAATGGCAGTGTTTGGCTGGTTATTAGTCGAGTTTGAGTTAGCTATAATTTTAAACGTTGCCGTTTGTACAACTGAACCAAGATAAATAATTTGAAATGTCATAATTGCACAATAATAATGATTGTGCAATATTGAATTTTGTTTGTAAAAATGCAAATCATAACGTTAATGGCTGTTTACAGCGTTTTTAATTTTGTTTGGTTTGTCATCTGTTTTTATACTGTATGGGATTAACCGTATTTTTCATTACCTCCCCCCCCCCCAAACTAGCTCAGGTAGTCGAGTATCTACACAATAGTGTAAAGTATTGTAGCCTATGCTACTTGATTGTATTTTAATTAGCTTTATGTCAACAAAGCGTTCTGTGCTGAGTAGCGGTGTAGCTGGACGTGTCTGTACCACATGTTATCTATCACAGCAGTTGAGCTATTCCGTGCCCTCCCTCTTAGATCTCACGTCTGTCTAATCTTGAATAATAACTTCCTATACGAATCCTAAACTATCCTAAAATCCTATTTTAACTAATTGAATTCAATGATATAATGACATTAATTAATCCACTTTCTATCTGGTGACTTGTAAAATATTTTTGATTGTCGTCACGTTGAACACTGTTGCAATTAACTTTAGCCAACCCCCACCCCGTTTGAATTTTTGCACCCCCCCCCCTAAAAATTTCAATGCCGTAGTCTGCGTCACAGCCCCCCCTTGTGGGCACCCCTGATTAAGTTATGTTAATATCAAACCGAATCAATATCAACTATATATCGATATCCAATAAAATATGGCAGGTTCTCTGCGGAACTGTAGCCTACTCAATCCAAAAGGTCAGCAAGTAATTTATAGAGTAACTTATTTAAGTTAGGCCTACAAAACAAAGTGTAGTAAAAAAACATGCGTCTTCAATTCTTTATTATTGTTTTGTTGTGTTTGTAAACAAGTCCATTATAATTCAATGTAGTATTGTTCAAGTTATTAAAAACCTTTCTAAAGATGATAAAAGTTCTTTCTCATTCATTCTTACTCTCATTACAATTTTAATATTTTATGTAGGCTATAACTTAAACTAACTTACGCATACCGGTACTCAAAGATGTGATATCAAAACTAAAAATCCTTCTCTCAGACAGTACTTTTTCCAAAAACTATGTAAAGTAATAAAAACCATGATCTACCAGTATAATCATAATTTGACAGAAAAAGTGAAACAATAAGTATAACTTTTGCTAAGTACCGGTACACCATTTATTAACTTAATTCATTGTAAACAGTTCAGGCAGGTTGCTGGTTAGCCTATACCTAATATTTTAGCAATTTTGTTATCAGGGAGATGATTGAAGTTTGGTGGCAACAACAACAGTGCAGTTATTTTCTTTAGTTAGCTACCTTAGTTAGCCTACCGATGGGAGAACTACAAGGAGACCTATCAAGTATTTTATTTGCTGAGTAAGTTAAAAAAATCATGTTTTAACAGCTCAGTGCCAAAAAATTGAAATAGGAAACTTGCGTGTCTTTCTTGATTGTCACATGCATCCAATTCTAATTGTTTACATAAATTAACCAAAACTACAGTAAGTACCTAACTTACTGCAGTTTTCTCTATGAGTGGTACAGTATCGTAAACAGCTCTTTCAAATAACTTAAGTAGGTCCTTATCCTCCAAGAATAACTTAAGTCTCACTATCACAACTTGTGACTCGTCCAGTAATTATTACCACTCAACTGTCGCTGACTTAACATAAATATCATAAGATAGAATAGCCTATGCCTTAAATTATTTTGACTTCAAGTTCCAAGCACTTGGTGCTGTTTCTGACATATAGCCTAAGTAAGTTACGGTAACAGCATTTTCACACTCAGCAGTCAAATTACCAGGGAAAGTGTAAATAAATCCATTAAGAAAAGAGTAAGTACTTACACTGCTCAACAAAGCCTAATACCATCATTTTAAAACAAATTGAATTTAAGATTGGGGTTATCAAATAATAAAATGACAAACATCATAATTTAGCCTATAACATTTACAAGCAACTAATTTGTCAATTATACAGTAACACTTTTACTAGGTATAATGCAAAAAAATGTATGTTAAAGGCAAAGGTAGTCTGTAATCCAAAAACTTGCAGACTAATAAAACACGTTCTGTCTGTGACTTGGAAAGGTCATAGAACTTTGTAAATTCCCATTCCACTCAGAACAAAACTGGAGAACTAGTTTTCAGTTTATCCAGATTGGTTTATTCTATTTTTAAGCAATCCATAAAAGAAGGATGACAATACTTTATATTACTCAAAAACGTAAGCAAGACATTGTTAATAAAGCCGGTTTAGTGAATTTGACATAAAATGTCCAAAATAAGTTTGTTACTTCGCAAACTAATAAAGAAAACAGCCATTTTGAAAATTCCTCATAATCCCATTTGAGATTGTTATCTTTGATCCAGTTTTCTTAAATGATTAAAATAAACTAGCCTCTCAACAAAATAGCAAAAGTCAAAATGAAACATACCGTGCATAATAGAAATGACAAGATTCTTTTGAACAAACAAAATTAACACAAAATAAACAAAAATATGGAACCTTCAATGTTTCCAAAATATTGACAATACTAGAAAACCAAAGCAATTTAATAATATAAAAAAAAAACTCAATTCAATCCCATCCTTCTACACAACACATGATCAGGATCCATCATAAAGTTCAATTTATTTTCCATCATTTAATCGGCATTCGCTTTTGGAACGTTGACAAGCCAACAGACTTTTCTCTAATGGTTATACTATACATAGCATTGCATATAATAAATAAGCATCCATTTTAAATGGGTCGGTAAAGTTTCAAGAGTTGCGGTGGGATTTGCCATTGACTTTGGATACTGCAAGTAGACTTTTCTATGTACAGTAAATCTGAAATTGGGGTATGTGCGTGTTTTAAATCCCTTAACAACAATATGAAGATTGCGACTTTAATAAATTTACCTATATAGACAACACCACTTGCGACGTTGCCAATTCTACCAGGCCACGGCCTGTAGTTAAAGGTGGCCGTGGCTCAGCCTCAACTGAATTGTAATTATCCTTTTTTTATAGGCCTTAAACCTATAAACTTTAGTGTAGGTACATTCCCAAATAATATAATGTATACCGTTAAATCGCATGAAACTAGAAATTAAAATATGAATTATAACATAGGTAAATTTTTCATAAAAACGCAATGGAGGTTGTTGGACATAGTTCTAGAAGTCTTTAAAAATCAACCAAACTGCTTAAAAGAAAATTTTCTGGGAGAGGACCCCTGCACGTCGTCTGTGGAACACACCCCCTGGCCCCTGATAGTGTTAGTCGCCCCTGCCACCCTCTTGACAAGGTCCTAGAACTGCCACTGAGTAAAACACCAACTTGTCTGAATTTTAGCGTGGATACCTAATGGATTTGTATCGTAATCGCAGATAAAAATAAAACGCGTTGCGTTTTTGTGTTGGTTAGTCCATGTATGTTTACAATAATCTGTGACTGTGGCTATGATGGTGATAAGGCCATAATACAGATATAGGTGGTTTAATCCAAAAGAATACAGAAATATATTACGTCTAATAACACTTGCAATAATATATTTACACTTATACTGTTGACTTAAAAGACGGTAAATACATGTAAAAGTTGGTAGTGGAGTGGTGATCGATTTCGATTGGACACTCCAATCATCATCAGACCCAATAGGCGAACCAACTTTTACATGTATTTACCCACCACCGTCTTGTAAGTCAACAGTATAAGTGTAAATATTATTGCAAGTGTTATTAGACGTAATATATTTCTGTATTTTTCAGGTAATTAATAACACGTACGATGCTAATCAAGAAGTTATTAATCCAGGAGGCACTATTTTTGTAAGTAACCAAATAGTTCAACACTAATCAAGTCAGTATTGTTGTCGGGCAAAATATTGCACTTCCCTTTCCTTTTAGCCTTTAATGCTTGTTAGTAGAATCACAGTCTAACAATATAAATATATTTATATAAATATAAATAGGTAGTCTGAAATAAAGGATAGGGAATGTCGGGACTGTATACTTTATTTATATTAGACTGTGGTAGAATCCCGTACCCGTAGGCTGTACTAAGAACAAGTATTGTTTAGGTATAAAATGTACAGATGCTATTAATTATTTAGTGCATATCTTAAGAATTTTAATCTGATTCCTCGTGAATCATAAATAAAACATATTTAACATTCTCCCTTTGGATTTGGTTATCATTGAGATTCAGCCAGAATTGTTTAGGTAGGCCTACGTTTTGTTCATTCATGGACTAACCAACACGTTTTATCTTCTATAAGCATAGCCTTAATCTGTGTTGTTCATTTCTATTTATTCGTTGTTGTATGTATAACAAAACTTACAAATATTATGAATACATAGAAGAATATATATAGAAGAACTACACAAAGTGTTCTAACAGTATGTTAAAAAATAAAAACACCATGTTTTGGATTCTTCAAACTAAAGCGAACATTAAGCAGATCTAAAAGTTCAATAGCATATGGTTGGAAAGCTTATAAAATGGCACAGTTTTCTTATATTTTGCTACCTTCTTGTATACCGGGTGTAGAAAAATGCAAAAGAGCAAGGTTTTTTTAAAATTTGTATCATAGACTTTCATTTTAATCTTTGGAACTATTTAAAATGAAGTTTTTACTATTGATCCTCCATCTATATTATTCTTATTCAAAATGTAATGTAGAACACAAAAATAATAACATCGTCTATCTACTCAAATCCATTTACAGATAAATAAGAAATTGCTGTATTGTGTTTAAAAACATAAGTTAGGGCCTATTTTAGAAAAACTTAAAACAATTCATTGGGAAGCTAGTTTTTAGACTTGGAACCTCTTATATATATTATCACACTTCATTTACTTTGTACTTAAGCCAACAATTTTTTTTAATACTTTAATACTTTTCAATGAAATGGCACCATACAAAGTAGGTACCTATTTTAAGTGAAGTATGAATGGAGGTAGGATGAGTGGCACGATCTTGTAGTCTTGTTAGTGACTAAGGCCGACTTATTCCTTAGACACAGCTGTTAATTATTAGTCCATACAGCTAATGACAACTAAGGGACCTACAGTTTATAGTGGAATCCGAACCACATTTTTGCCTTGTATATACAAATTGGTATAATTTTCAGGATAGTACTGCAGATAGTCGTAGTACTCACTCGTGCAGATGTTAATCCACACCAGGGAGTATCGCATCCACAGTCCATGCCTATAAATATCCACAATTCGTAACCTCCTAGTAGCTGGATTACAGGACGACACCATACCCGTCCCAGTTTTAATACTGATGACCAGCCACGCTGTATAGTTATAGGCGTATTACATTAGGTTTAATAAGGGCAACCAAACCTAGCCTACCTAGGTTTGCTGCTACAGTTAGGGTAATAAAGTGTTTTTTTTTTAGTAAAAATATTAATAGCTTAGTATAAAGTAAATAAATTTGCCTAGTTTGATAAAAAACAAACAAACTAAGTTACAACAGTTTACTAATTCTTTAGGCTACATACAACATTTCACAATATTCTCCATAAGAATAACAAGGGAACTTTAAATTTTTAACTTTTTGAACTTTGTCCGTAACCAACCGTACAAAAACACTTCGATATACTAAATTGTTTGTTTTTTAAGCTCTTTAAAATGGTCTAGAGAGAAGTAAAATGGGAAATTTTATGTTTTGAGGGTCAAAAATGAGTAAAACCAATTTTTACCCCGAAAAATCCCGTTCCCATGGTCTGATCATGCTTGTTCGCAAACTCATTCAAGTTTATCCTGCCTCACACATTCAAGAGTAAAAATTTAAAAACGTACGTTTTTCATGTCCCTGGCCTTTTACTTCGTTGATACTGGATTTGTAGTTTATTATTATGTGTTTTAATATTTTTTGGGACGGGGGCAACATGTTACACACATTTATTTTGTTTTAAATAGGTTCTAGGTATTTTTTTCGCATTTTTAAAGTCTCGAAATTCACGACCATGACGTTTCCCTAGGGTACATTTTCCAACTTCCACGCTGTTTTTAGACTAATTATTCATGCCGAAATATATAAAGCCATATTTTTATGTCATCAATATTTATTAAACTTACAAAAAATGAGCATATTATATTTTTATTGTCATTGCAAACTGACTACCATGACAAAATAAGTCTGTCCCTCGATTTGGCGTCACGACCATTTGGGAAAAACTTTCAACTTTGGAACACGACAGTGGCAAGCCTGGCGTCGATTGCGTCAGTTCGTTTTAGAGGCTAGTTCGGGGTGTGCGCCAGGATTGTAGTGCCGGTCGTTTCGAGTTGAAAGGAGGAATTACAAGATCAATAAAGGCAAGTTTGTGTTTTTTGTAATTTTGGTGTGTCCATGACCGTACGCAGTCATTCGATGAAGTAGACACGGTGTTAATTTTTGTTTATAAGATATTTCAATTGCTAGATAAACCTAGAAGTCCACTTTGTATCCACGAACATAAGGTGCAGGGCTACCACCAGAACAGAGCCAAATAACACGAAACATCACGACCAAAGTTTCACGACCATCTCGGGATTTTCACGACCAATCCAGCCTTATGGATTATACTGTGTTTGGTAGTGACAATAACTTAAATAACATTGTTAATTGAACACTTTAGTTCAATTGAAACACATATTTTTATTATAACTAACAGTATAGTTGAAGGATTGTTTAGAAAGATTTAGATTATTCCAGACAATTCACAACCGCACCGCTTGTCCCTGACAATCACGTTTATGATTTCTATCATAAAACTTTCAAAAATTAAAATATCATATTTCAATGTTTTATACATAAAAGAAACATACCTCTATAAAAACATAACGATTTTTTGGGTCTCAGGTAGGTTTTTTCGGAGTTATACAAACTTAAAAGATTTAATTAGTTTTTTATCAATTATTTAATTTTTTTATATTTTTTTCTAGGAAGACCAAATATACCAAAAGCTTAGTGAGCTGTTTATTGTATAATGGCCATAAAAGTAAATTAGTTTAGTATTTATAATTTAAAACATAGTTATAAAATAATATTAACTATTTTTAATATTTAGTTTTATGTCCGTGATGGTCGTGACAAAATTTTGTGTTTTTCCAACAAAGATGCTCTATTAATAAAAAACCACTAAGATATTGCGTAACCATGGACATTTTATGAAACTTCAAATGTCAATAAAATAAAGAAAATAAAAAAAGTTTCAAAAAACGGAACAACAAATTTTAAAAGTTTTTTTCCTGAAAACGTATGTTTTTAAATTTTCACTCTCAAACCAAATTTCATCAAAATCGGACAAAAATTAATCAAGTTATCGTGTTAACGGATACGTGTAATACAGTATACAATAGATATACAGGGTGATCAACCCAAGGAAGCCACCATTGGGATATCGGAAACGGTAAGAATTAGAGAAAACTTTAAATGGAGGACATTCCTTTATTTTTTTGTGGCAGTTAAAATATGAATTTAGTTTTTCAAAATTCAGCCGCCATTTTCCAAATGGCAGCCAGCTTTGAAATTTCTTATGGAACACCCTATATTTTAAGGTTTTTGGTTAGAACATGTAAAGTAATTTAAAAACATTTTTATTCTTGAAATTTTTTCTATAAAACTACTCATTTAGGAGTTACAGCCTATAAAAAAATGACTTCCGGTGTACATTTTGCATCATGTAGCTCCTAAGAGGTTTATAGCGAAAATGCGAAGAGTAAATAAGTCATAGCTACTGAGTCCCGGCGTACTACCTATTGCAAAAAACATCTAGCGTCCATTACTTCCCGTCCTAAGAACTTGACCCTACTGCCGTTTATGTATAATGAATATAGTAGGATTAAGATTATTTTTAAGTAGGTTATTATTTTTTTACTTGTGTGTTGAAAATGGGAGGACTCCGTCCCAGAGTCCTTATGGACCAGCCGCCACTGTCCAACGACCTAACTTAGTTGGATATTCACCAATATATTTACATAATTGTCAGAATTATTCCCTATTTAAATAGTATTAAGTTTTATAAGTACTTTAGGTTCGCTGCTACAGGGAACCTAATAAATGTCTTTTTGTTGAAATTCTAATAGAATGAATGTATGAAATAAATAAATTGCAAAATTTTATAAAAAATATATTCCTAAATAAAAAAACTAAATCTGTTTTTTATTACCCACGCAAATAACATGGGGATTTTAAATTTATAGTTTATTTTATGTTCTCAGGAGAGGCCTAAACATTTGAAGTACTTTTAGTGTACCGGTACTAAATTGTTTGTTTTTCTTGCTCTACAACCTGGTTTAGAAAAACATTCAAAATGTTATGATTAGATGGTAAAAAATGAGAAAACCCAATTTGACCCTATGAAACCCCACTGACATAGTTCGATCATGTTGGTTCACCAACTCGTTTGAATAAACATAGACTTAAGTTCCCCCTAACTAAAAATGAAGGTCTTAATCAATTGCTACTTTAATAATAATAATGTAAATTTACTCATTTGACTTTTTGCATTTTAAAGGCTTTGCGAAAACTTATCACAAAGTCATTGAAACTATATGTTAGAAGAATGCATTTTTAAATACATCATCTAACAACTCTTCTGCTCCATTCCTGAGTTTTGATTTTTACTCTGATACCATTTCAGGAACACTGCAGTAAGGAATCATGGATCCATGTCCCATTCCAATCAATGTTTGCAAACTCCAAGAAAGCAATGAAACAAAAATTGAAGAAACATTTAAAGAAATCCACGAAAAGTTTATTAAAGTACAGCAAGAATCTAAATCCTTAAGAGTAGAAGTGAAAAAAATGGAACATGAGGTATCACGATTGGAAAAAGAAGAGCACTGCTTAGAGTCAAAAAACAAAGTACTGGAAGAAGAAATTGCACAATTAAGATCACAAACAGAAGAAGCTGTGAACGCAGAGGAGTTGTTAAAATGGAAAATGTACAAAATTAATTTGATAAGAGAATTTGAACAGAAAAATAATGAGCCTGCATATAAAATAATTCAGGAGCAGAAAGAACATTCTGAAGATGTTGTTATTGAAACTGAGGAAATCGATCAAATACCGGTACCAATTGAAAAGGGATACGTTAGTGAAATGGAGGCAAAAATTGCTCAGTTGAAAGACGAAATAGAAAAAGAAAAACAGAATATTCAAATGACCGATCCCAAATTGCTTACAAATATGAAAATGTTGGAAAAGAGAAATGCAGCTTTACTGATACGATATCAACGGCAGATTGGAGAAGCTACTCGGAGATACAGGCAAACGCTGGCAGAGGTGAATAGTTTGAAGAGAATCTTGGCGGTAAAAAGTTCTATGCTTGCAGATACATGTGATCCTGCCCCAAAGAAGTGAAACTCAAGTTTTTGTTTAAATGGATCAAATCTAAAATTATTCCGACATCATTATTAACTCAAAATATATTTTAAACATTTTATGTGCTTAGGTAAATCTTGTTCAAATTCTGTGAATGCATACAGAAGAATTATGTTGATCAAGAAAGAAAAAAATGTTCAGTTTTTGGCTGGTATGAAGTATTTTTTTATTTAGTAGCCTTGATAGAACCAATGTAATTTTTTTATCCTTCTTAATAATAAAATGTTGTTTCAGTATCAGTAATACACTTTGACTCATGGTTTTATTACAATCCCATATTACCATCAGCCTGCCCCTAGTTAAAACGTTCTCTACCCCTCGGTACAAATGCCCTGCCAACGTTTCTCAATTCTCTCATTCAGTGCTACCTCCAGTTGTATTTCTCCCATTGTTTTGAACCTGCAAATAGCTACTAACTTTTCTCAGGATCACTATACAGTAGAGAGTAAAGAATCCGAACCAATTGGGACCGTAGGTAGTTCAGATTACCGATTTGTTCGGATTTTCAAACATAGCCTATAAATGCCTAATAGACACATAATTAGGCATACAGTATTAAAAATACAGTTCTGGGATATAGTGAATGAAATAAAAACAATGATTTTTGTACTTAGTTATTTTCGTTACATTACTGTAATTTGTTTCTTGAAAAAATATGTAGAGTTTATACATTGGAAACGAACAAAACACAGACTGGCTCGGCACGTTCACTCATTTCCCTGCCAGATGCCGACTGTTTGGCCCGCAAAATTGTAAAACATCTGATGTGCTAGTTCAATTTTTTTTTATCCTCAGGAGCGGCTGGGATTTTTGACGTTTCGGATTTTTTACGTTCGGATTTTCGACTCTCTACTAGTAAATAAACTTAAATAAAAGGCATGGCTTAGTAATACAGTTTTTGTATTAATGTGAAATCACAATCTAATTGAAACAATAACAATTATACAGACACAAATATGTATAGAAAAATATATATCTATGTTACAGGATTGTAATTTAATAAATACACTTTTATTGAATGAAGGAACCAAGTGAAATAATTATCATACATGACTTGCTAGTAAAAAAATTAAAATCAGCAGATTTCCTTTTTCCACAATAGTTTTAGAATGTAAATTAATTAAAATTTTAATTTATAAATAAAACAGTACAAGTACAGTTAAGTACAAAATCATGCCCCAATAATCATAGATAAAATACCTCAACCACATGACTGTAATTAAAATAGGTATGATGTTTAAAGGGTAAAAATTACAAAAATCTATTTTTGAAAAATTTTAAAACTCCTTCACTTTAACTTGTTCTTATAACCCAATCTTGCTGGTTCAGGAACTCACTAAAGTTTAATTATTCTCCATCATTAGACCCCTACATTCATGTCGAATCTCATCAAACTTGTACCACAATCGAGTTATCGTGTTTACAGACATATTATTTTCATAAATAAAATGTAAACAAATAGTATTTTTTTATTTTTGCTCCTTTGGTCATCAAACTGAAAAGGTATATCGGTCCAGGGTCTAGGTTTATCCATGCCCCACCTATGCTTAAACTTCTCCCCTATAGAGAAAACTCACTAATAAAAAAAATATTTTCTCCATAAAAATAACACTGGAAGTAATTTTTCTAGACTTTGAGTCCATGTTTATTAACTTATGTTATGTTTGACACATTTTGAGACAACATTGGCCGATTATAATTTGTAATTTTAGAACATAGGTAGTTGTCTTCAAACTTAACGGTACAACATTAATTATACACATAATTGACTTTGGCATTTATCTGTTAAAACAAGTGGAAATCATACTTCTTTTATATCATATCTTGTACATAGACTAAGAAAAGATCCAAAAATCTTAAGATGAGGGTATCTTGCTTTAAATAATTAACAATGAATTGTGCATCATATTAAAAAAAATAAACAGTAATAATCAAACTAAAACACATTCATACAACAACATTTATGTTTCAAATTATACCTACTATTGGTTTTAAAAAGAAACAATTAAAAACAACTCAAAATATAACAGGACTCCATAAACATCAACTACTGTACTGTTGTAAATGTTGCAAACATCATTTGTCATACATTTTCACATTATAAACTTCACCATTAAACTAGGTGCAACATTTAAGATAAAGCTATAATAACTGCTGGAGGGGGTAAACCTATGTTCTACTCAATTAAAACAATTTTACCTAACCCGCCATGTTAAACTTCCCTATCCCAAGCGTGATGTATACAACTTTCTTACTTCTCGAGTGATGTAAAGTTGGAGAAAACTCACTCGGTGATGTAATGAAACCCATTTAAATAACATTGAGTGGATAACTTAAAAAATATACTTCTATGGAGCCAACGACGTTCAACGCTAGAAATCAGCTGTGTGTTTGAATTTTATTGTTATGCTTTGAAGAATTTTCCTAACCTAGCTTTTGTTTGTAAATGAACGTTACTGTTAGAAGATGAATGAAATTGATAATGAAGCATATTGCTCGTAACTTCCTGAATATTGTCGGGTCAGGTAAAATCTTGTACGTTACACGTTACGCAAGAGCGTGTTTACATCACTTCGGTGAATTATGCAACTCGCCTTCGCTCGTTGCACAACATTCACCTGCGTGATGTAAAAACGCTCTTACTACACTTGTAATGTAAATAGCTATTAACAGGTCATCACAAACCAATAAGACTAGTAAAAATAATTGAATGCACAATAGAAAAATACCAGGACTATGATAATCTATGGACTAGATTTGATAATAATTTAAACATCGTTAACTTCAACATTTTGTACAACATTTAAATCTAAAGATGGAAGACTGACTAACTGGTAGATTTGATTCCACCAGCGTCTGGATCGTTTCATAAAACTACACCCTGTAACAAAAAACTCAATTCAATAATGAAACTCAGTTGAAAATTTATTTCATTATTAACTAAGCACTAAAAACAACAGTCAATACAAATCATTTTAACAGGTAACATTGTATGTACCAAAAATAAGAACTTCTCATTATTGTAAATGTATATTATTGTGTTACATTATGAAAGTTCGTTATTAAACAGTATAGGAAAGTCTATTAACAGAAAAAGTGAAATTTCATACAAAATAGACAAATTTACATTAAAGAATAAGTTGCAATATGAATATATGAAAAGATAGTAAAATTAAAACATTATGCGTTATGTGATACATAACAAGCAAAGAGAATAGCAACAAAGAGTTGATAAAGGTGTACTTGTAATTTTAACTTTTATAGAACTGGGGGAAATTCCTAAATAAAAATAAAAACTTGCCTGTACAGAAGAAATATCACTTGACTCCTCCAGTAGAATGACTGTTTCATGTTCAGGAAAGCTATGTGATGTTGATTTACCCAATAATGAGGTATTTTCCTGAAAATACAAAAAATGAGATTTGTAATTTTAATTTTAGCTTATGAAGGTGTATATGTATAGGTTTCAAGATTCAACAAATGCCTTATACTAATTCTTAGCAATTAGAATGGTCTTGGCTATTCATTAGTGTATTTATCTGATCTTTATCATAATACAAAAATTTATATCTGAATGTCAATAGAATTAGAGAAATTATTTTTAATTGGAAGTAAAAGTAAAACAACATGGATTAAGAAAAATTTGTGAACACTTCAAATCTTTGTGCATTTATTTGATTCATGCACACTTTCATCTTAATCTCTATTTTATTGATATTTTTAATCTATTAGTTAAGGGAAATAACACTGTCCACAAATTGCGACCGATCAACCTATTCATGTAATGATTGAGCAAGCACAAGATTACAGTTTGTTGTATGTTATACAATCGTAAGATCGTCTTGCATATACAACCAATTTACTTAGTGTTGTGTGTCTTCATAAGATTTTTAGTTTTAGACTAAAATACCAAACACCACTGTTGGATAAAATAGCTCCATGAGAGCATCTAGAACTAAAAAGCAAGTGATTTGATCACTGGTTCGGCCACATGCAAGATAATATCTATGCATTTACCACTGACTCGCCCGTGTTAATTAAGTCATTTTAATTTTAATACCAAGAAGTGTTAAATACTCAAATTAATCTCCATTCAAGAGGCACATTGAACAGTGTAGACTAAAAACTAAACAAAAAACTCAAGAAGAAAGAACTTGCCTTTGAAAGTGTCAGGATCGAAACAAGGAAAAACAATAATGTGTTTCTAGGAAAAAATCTTAATTGGAAATAATTTTTTTAGCAATCAGGCTGTCATCTGTTACATCATTGAGAGACATACAGAAAAACTGACCTTTCTTCTCTTGAATAAAATGTTAAAGCATATGCTTGAACAAAAACTTAATCTACCTGAGACATCTCCTGGGGTAGATGTTTTTTCCGTCGGTTGCAAGGGTTTCCTCCAAGGTGGTGCTCTGCCTTGTGCGCCAAGTAGTTGTCCTTCTTGACTGTTCGAAATGGACACAGCTGACAGCTAAACATGAGCCCTTCATCCAGCCCTGAGGAAAAAAAAGCAATTCATTAACAAATCATAACCAAAATAGAATAATCATAGTTGAAATTTGCCCTATTTGTAAGTGTATTTTATAAGCAACTTGAGAGGTTTATAAATTAACGCTTTATAGTACAAAAATAATTTATAAATAAAAAACTTTTTTAAAACAAAACGTTTTTAAACGCACTAAAAAGTAGAAAATATTTTATAAATATGTTGAGAGTATAAATACTTGTAAGATTTAAAACGAAAAACGTGGGGTGCATGCAATAGATAATTTACAATTACCTTCACCTATTAAACTAATGTATTATTATCAATTAATTGCATGCACCCAACGTTTTTCGTTTTAAATCTTACAAGTATTTATACTCTCAACATATTTATAAAATATTTTCTACTTTTTAGTGTGTTTAAAAACGTTTTGTTTTAAAAAAAGTTTTTTATTTATAAATTATTTTCAACTTTTTAGTCTTTAATGTGTAAATATGTTAAATATATTTTATATGGCCTGTTGATATATAACCTTTGACTATTAATACAACAAACCAAAACCTTATTATCTCTAATCAGATGTTTTATCTTTACTTTAAAATGCTTGTTTTATATTTTTAGAATATACTAGCTGTAACCCGCGGGCTTTGCCCCGTTTAACTTCTTAATTTTCAAGATGATCTTGTTCGCATGGCTCAATCACGTCCTGGTTTCACCTTTAGGTTGGAGCTCGTTCGCTACGCTCACTTGCCTTCAGGTTAGCTCGTTCGCTACGCTAACTCGCCTCCAGGTTGAAGTTTGTTCGCTACGCTCACTCACCTTTTGGTTGCAAATTAGCTGTTGTCATAAATGTAAAAGAAATAATAGTGCTGCACCCTGTTGGTAATCCTTGTAACATTAATGCTATTGAACATCATAGAACAGAACCAACTTGTTTAATTGAAACAGCTGTTAAAATTCATTAATTCCATTTCTCATAAGGTTAATATGGGAAACTCCAGAGCCACTGGGGCGGAGCCGATTGGACGGATCACAAAATTGATGGTGTATAAACCTATTCCATGAAATTCTACACGTATGTACCAAGTTTCGTGGCAATCGGTTCAGCGGTGTCTGAGTTTATCACTGCAAATATATAGGGATGGACGAGATTGAATTTTTAGTTCGAGACGAGACGAGAAGAGATTTTTTATTTCTCATAAAATTTCGAGACGAGATCGAGACGGGATTTCCCTTCTCATACACAACGGGAAATGCACGTTCGGAATTTTTACCTGATTTTGTAACATTGTTAGATGACTGTTTAAATACAAAAATAATGATAATAGGCAAGGATATTTACTATCTTTTATTAAAAAACATCAGCATAACATTTTTTTATTAATCACACCTAAATTATTAAAAATGCCTACGATTAGGAAACATAGTGATATCAGTTAAAAGAGTTCAACTTATCCTAAAATAAAATAAATCATAAAATAAAATATTAATTTTTATAAAATAGTTACTTGTTTTGACTTTTTTATAGTAATAAAACATTCCTCACACTGTTAACAACTTAACAAAACTTCTCAAATGTTATTAAAATAATTAAAGTAATATTTACATTTTTGAAGAATTAATTAAATAAGAACGCCTTCGCAAAGGAAACGCAACTACAACACGCTCCTGTATTGCGGGTATTGCATTGACTTTCTGCAGGCGTTTTTAATTTTTTTTTTTTTCTCGTCTCGATAAAAATCTCGGCCAAAAAGAAATCTCGTCTCGTGTAACGAGATTTAAAATTTCCCGAAAATTTCCCGAAATTTCGAGACTTGACCATCCCTACAAATATATATATATATATACAAACATCCTCTTTTATACTTATAGGTCTCTAGCTCATCGGAAACTTCGTTTAAGATTGATATCAAAATTTGTAGGAAAGCGACTAGCAAGCTAATAAAAACAAGCCCATGGGGCGTAGCCCAAGGGAAATATGAAAATTAAATGATATAATATTGCATTGTCATCCATTTGTGAGCTATGTTTCAAGTTTCAAGTCTCTAGATCATCGGGAAGTATCAAAATTTGCAAGAAAGCGAGTTAATAAAAACAAGCCCATGGGGCATAGCCCAACGGAAATATGGAAATTAAATTATATAATATTGCATTGTCATCCATTTGTGAGCTATGTTTTAAGTTTCAAGTCTCTGGCTCATCGGGAACTTAGTATAAAATCGATTGCAAAATTTGTACCGGACAAGAAAGCGAGCTAATAAAAACGTTTTAATATCCTCTAATTTACAACGAATTTAATAATAAATTTACTTTTTGTGAAATAAAAACTCCTTGTGTAGGTACATATTAATATAGCCTACACAAGTAAATTGTGTGACTCTTTTGTAATAAAAAAACCTTTTTCATCTGCGGCACTAGCCTCAAACAAAACTGTTTGTAACATATCTAGAACTACAATTTGTAATCTGTCAGTGTAGTTGACAAAAATCCATGATTGACAGTACTCTACAGTGCCTCTGCTGGTGGCAATAAAACTAGTGTGATTTTAACTCAAATCTGGCTACAGCTTTAATATGAATGACTAATACTAAAAACTTACAGCTAAAGCAACTTATAAATGAGGGAAGTAGGGACGGTAACTTGTTGACTGACCAGTACTTGCCAGTTGCACTTACAGCATACTTACCTAGGAAAGCAGCCCTATGGACAATGTAAGTATGAGGTACAGATGGGTTTACGCAATGCTAGTAGGTGAGACAGTTGTCAGGCCAATTAATTGTCAATTCATGATTGTGGGATTGTTGGAGGCCAGATGTCCTCAGTCTACTCCCGGAGACAACTGAATTTCAGGAAAATTAATTAATAGGGCAATTGGCCGGAAGTGTTTACACGGAGCCAATAATTTCAGGCAAGTCAGTTGTCTTCAGACAATTGCCTACCTACTAGCATTGTGTAAACCCGGCGTTATTGCAACTAGCAAGTATTTAGAGCCAGCATCTGGCCAATTGACAAGAATACCATATCAGTTGAGTACCTGGGTGTTTGTTCTTGAGATGCACCTTGTACGTAGTGGCCTGTATGCAGTTGTAACTGCAGTAAGGACACTGGTAAGGTCTGAGTCCAGAGTGTCGCATCTTATGTCTCCGTAGTGAGTTGTGGTCAGCTGTTACGTAGTCACACTCGTTACAGCTGAACGGCTTCTCACCTACCAACATCAAGGGTGAATAATGTTCAGAGTAAACACTGTGACAAGAGTATAGACTTAAGAGAATCACCCTGTTTGTTGGATGTGAAGGGAAACATACACCTTTTAACCGGACATCGGTTTAACCAGACAATTTTGATTAGCACATTGGTTTAACCGGACTAGATCGGCAGGAAGTGGTCAGTACTGAAACGCCTGTTCTCGTGGGAAAGATTTGAGAGAAGGCAAACATGTATAGGCGAGCAAATGTTTGGGAACAAGCTCAACAAATACCCCTGCTTGTCTTTTTCAGATTGATATCATTAAAGGACATTTTACCAATAAAGCTACAAAATAAAATTAAAACTAAATAAATTCATGTAATTCTTCTGAAGTTCACAAAAAATGCTGAGGAGATAGTGAAAAACATTATTTATTTATAATCTTCAGATTTAGTTCTTGATATTTCGGTTGATTTACTGATTTACAGATAAGAAATGAACAGGCAAGTAACATGTAGGTACTACCACTACACTAGCCTCTGTTCTATACTCTGCAAGGGTAGCATCTTATCTTAATAAATAGAATCTTTGGAATTTAGACATTTAATAAATATAATCTTTATGAGTGAAAATGAATGAATGTAATATTTGCAATTAGAAACTTAATTAATTTATTCTTTGAGAACATCATTTTAATAAATAGAATCTTTGCCATTAGAAACTTAATGAATATATACCTGCCATTAAAACAATTATGAATAGAATCTTTGTGAGCGAAAGTCAAATGAATATAACAGTGTTTCCATTCATACTTGATAGTAATTCACTGGACAATTCTTGGTTTTCATAGTCGTATATAAATCTTAGGACTTTTATCAGAATTGGACCGTCCTTATTTTAAAGTTTTATCCGCAAAATTCACAGTTTAGTTACAGTGTGAATGTTACAGTTTAACCCTAGAGAATCTAATGAATAGTGTACATGTGTATAAAAGGTTGAGATTCTTGACTGACTGACCAGTGTGCTGACGTATGTGCATGCGCAGGGAGCTCTTGGAGCTAGCCGTGTGCGCGCAGAAGGTACACAGGTACGGCCGCAGCTTGTTGTGCACATTCTCTGTGTGGTGACGCAGGATACGAGCGTCAGTAAAACTGCGTCCACAGACCTTGCAGGTGTAACAACCGCCACTGTCTCCATTCACCTCTCCCAGCAGTCGGACCCTGGCTCGGTGAACGGCCTTCAAATACATCTTGGATTACCAATTGAGATAGGGACCCGAATATGAGTGACAGATGAGTGTATTGTGGAGCGATGCCTTGTGTAGCTAAGACCAGCTGTAACTTAAGCCAGGACCATTTATTTAGCATAATAATCAAGGACGGCTGGGTCATACTTTTCTCACAATCGGACCAGCATTCTTATGATTTTAAGGCGATCCATGAGCACTCTAACCACTTACCTACCCAGTTATTTAATTATGATACACAGGATTAGTAAAAGTAAAAAGTCTCAAAGTAAAATTGCAACATTGTTCATGTAATGGTAACAAAACCTAAAGAGATTTAAAACCCAACTTTAAATCACGTCTTAAGTAGGAAAGGCGCATTAACTATACGTATCATGCATACAATATGATTTTCTTTAATGTACTTTGCACCTAAACTAGAGGTTTTAATAGAGGAATCAGCAATGTTCGGTCACTCACCTTGTGGTTCCGCAATTGTTTGGTTGTTTTGAAGCCTTTACCACAAATGTCGCACAAGAACGGTCGCTCATCCCCATGTATCTTGATATGGTTGTTGATAAGCTTGCTGTAACTGCAACATTCATACAATCCTATGTCACTTTGGTCATACAACTTTGATATTGCAAAAGCCTTTTGTCGATGGGCTATCAATCTAACCAAAAGGACAATGTTAGATAGTGACAATAGCTGGGTATAGATCGTTCCATTACAAACATTTTACAAAATAAAAATGCTATAAAATATTACACACTAGTACATTTCATTACGAGTACCAAAAGTGACATTTTCCAGTGCGCACAAAAGTTTAAGTGTGAAACCCAAACATGAACACCAAATTTCATGTGCAAGGCCAAGCCGAGCATGTGAGAGTGAGTAACTTGAGCAAGTACCGAAAAGTAAAATGCTGATGTCGAGATTTTTTTGTGTTGACGTGCCAACACTCATTTGGCCAAAGAATGCCAAAACTCATTCTAAAACTTTTAGAAGTAGCCTTATTGATTTTATGCAGCTGAGATCATATTATAAAATAAATGATTTGTTGATGAAAACAAATTGATAACATGGTAAATGTATGTAAAATTGTATATACTGTGCATATATTTTAAGTTAAGTTGTTACATTAAACTTGTTAAATCACCTGTTGCACTTGTAGCCGCACAGCTTGCAGCAGTAGAGGTCGATGTCTACCCCGTGTTGCCGCCACAAATGGGATGTCACGCTGCTCCAGCTGCCCATCGCTAGGTCACACTCCGGACATCGGAACACTTCGGAGTCTGGCAGGTGACAACGCAGGTGGTAACTCAGGTTGGTAGCCGTCGTAAACCGTACACCACACTTCTCCACCATACACCTTCACAGTGAAACATGCTTAATTCTAACATCTATTCAAAAAGTTCTTCAATTTGATTTCTCACTGGTCATTAGTGTTACAACACAACTATCCAAGTTCCACTGTATGATATTTTTAGAACAAGTAACATCTACATATGGTTCATTTAACTTAAACAACTTAAAAATAATGTTAATAATACAATTCTTAAGTTTGGATTAAAAAATGTGTTTAAAAAATACCTCCTTTGTAAAAACATACTCACCAATACTTGAACAATTCTGGTAGGGATCATAAACATAAACAAATGATGTTTTTGGCTCGAAAGTAAACAAAACCCCTATACTAATAGCAGTAATTAACATATGGTTTTGTTTACTTTCGGGCCAAATATGTGTTTATTTATGTTTATGATCCATACCGGGACTTTTCTAGTATTTGTGAACAAAACATACTGAGAAATTTGTGAGCCATTTTTTGAAACCTTAATTTTATGACTATTCTGCAAAACTAACAACAATACAAACAGTATCTACAATATCTGTTTCTATTATACAAACAATATATTTTCAATCCTCCCGAAAGAACTGTGATGCATTAAATCAGCTGGCAATAGTGTTGTTTTGTTGGTATTTCATCATGTTAATTTAATCATGGGTGTGTTGTGTTGATTAGCTTCTCAGTGCAAGAGGAACAAGTTTGATTCCTGGCATGATTACTAGCCATATCTATTTTTATCTTAACATATATTATTATTATTATGTATTATATAACAGTACCGGGGGACCGAGCCATGGCTCGGTATGGAAACTCGCGTTATCTTTATAGGTTAACTAATTTCGGCTTTTATTATTTAAGTTTAAGCGCAATTTCTATTTATTATGATGGAAATTTTAACTTGGCAATCCAACACATTAATTTATTTTAATCTTACACATTTCATACGTTGAAAATACAGTAAAGTGTATATTGCTTAATATAAAGATTATTGTAATAGAATTAACGTTTATACTAATTCAACTTAATACAGCAGTCCAAATTATGTAAACAATAAAACAGTGAATAAAAATTGACGTCACCAATACAAAACACTATGTCGACTGTCGAGTAATCTTCAGTGTAATCTTTGCTAAATAGTTACAACTGATGTTTTTCCCTTTGTACTGCATTTTGTAATTTGCTAGTATACTGTAGATGGCTAACACATGCTACAAGTATTTTGTTTACTTTTTCCTTCAACCAAATTGTTCCTTAGCAACCCATAAGGCCAATGTTAAATTTTTGAATGAGTTGTGTAGCGAAATACAAATTTTCCTGAGGTAGTGGCTGTTACCAATCACGTTTATAGGGCAATAAGTCCCTAATTCCAAAATTTTGTAAAAACCCTTCCGCTGGATTTCGAGATATATATTACAGACAGACAAACAGACTTAGCTCGTATTATAGTATGGGATTTACCTAAAGTTGTACTTGATTTCATAACCAAACTCTGCCTTAAGTTTACTCCTCGCTGTTCTTCTAAGGCGTCGAGCAACCTTTTTGTCATTTATTACAGTTTTGCTATCTTCAGTCTTTGGATTTTGGTTGGATGGAGAAGCAACTTCCTTATCTGAAACAAAACATAAAATTAATTTTACAGTTGTATCCTAAACACCTTGATTTTTTTTAATTCGGACCAAGCCTACTTAGGTATTTCAAACCAGCAAACGCCTAATGTATGTTAAAACGTCCATTAGAGTATTTGAGAACAACATTAGTAAATAATGTAAGCAGATTGTTCACACTTACAATCTGTATATGTAAACAAATTTAAATTGATGCATCAGTTATGAATCGCTTAAATAGAATGTGTCTTTATATCTAACAAAACAAGAATTTTTCTTAGGTAAATTTAATTATTTTATTACCAATGTTATTACCTCCATCCCTATGTATAGCACAGACAAGTATGGCTTTGTATCTTCTTAGTTTCAGAAAAATATCATAATCCAGTTCCTAGCAAGAAACAATTTATATCCAGATGTATATAATTATTATTTCTAATAATACATTTCCCATTAAAATAAATATACCCATAACTCATGTCTACGCACAGGCCCCTATCTATGAAAATATTTTCCATATAATTTGATAAAGTATTTTTTCCTTTGTGCCATTTAGCTATAAAACTGTTTGTAAATACTTATTAAGTGTAAGAATTGTATAATTTATTATGTAAAAATACCATGAATTGTATTTTGTTTTCAATTGGGAAATACAATATTATTTCATTTCATTTTATTTATCTATGCTGCGTGCTAGCTATCCAGGAAGAGAAGGAGTTGAACAAGAAGTTATAATATTCATATTCAAACAATCTTGTTACTTTTTCAACTTTTTGTTGAAATTATTTTGTAGGCTACTTTTCATTTTGAAAGGCAATTAACTTTATTGAAAGTCAGTAGAATTTCTACAGTGATACTTGCTGTAGAAGTGAGCATGAAAAACTCAAATTATTTTCTTAAAATAAAAAACATCCTAATTTATATTTTAAGGGTTTTAAAATCCTAATCCAAACACAAATACAAGATAACCATCATTTTAAATCATTATTGAGGGATTTTCCACACTGTTTACTTGAAGTAAACACTAAATAATTAATAAACAATCAACATTTCAAGTGGAATTCAAACTTTTATCAAGTCCATCAAATTGGTTATCAAGAGTCAGCTGTCACCACCACACTGCTGTTTACATAATATTTCATTTCAGAAGAAGTCTTTGATTTACCTTACAGTACTACTCAGAATATTTTGAGGGCTACAAATTATGAAGAGGCGTTTTTCACTGGATGTTTTGATTCTGAAGGATCGCTTGTACGAGCAAGTGCGTCCAGTTCTCACTATAAACACATTATTAGGATTGTTTCCAGTAATACACAGTTTTGGACAATCATGCAACCGTTTGAGATTCCATTCGGTCAGCAGGCAAGTTCTAAATTCACTTCTTGTATCATTGGTTTTGCTCACTTGTCCTTTTATCATTGACAAAATATATGGTGACTACACAAGTCACTATTTCCGAAGATTTAAACCAATGATCAAAGCTGAGTATGTCATTTGGATTTTGCTAACGTACCACGAGCTACCAACCTACACAAGAGCGCTTTCACAGGTTCAATCAGTAGACAGGGATATTTTCAAACTGACGTTGAGTCTGAAGAGACTACAAATTTACTTAGTTTACTCTTTGTTTAGCTCGATACTGTTTTCACACTGGTTAATGCCGTTTCAGCCAAGAAAGGAATGGTATAAATACTTACAAGATGCCTGTTACCTGATCATGAATTTAACCCGGATGTTGATAATACTCCCGTATATCCTAACAGCGTATGCAGCGGCAGAAAGGTTTCGATGTATAACCAGAGACTTGCGAGAAGTGTTGTTTAACAAGGATTTAAAGAATTACCCTCTATTGACGGAATTAGAAAGAATTCGCAAACTTCATCTGGCTCTGTGTACAGCGGCTCACAGCTTTGCTGCTTGTTTCTCTCTCAAGATTTTGTTATATTTTGTGTTTACAGTTTTGGATCTTTTCGCCAAGGTAGGCAGTATTGTCGATCACAAAGACTTCAAAGCAGTGCAAGACACTTTAGGACTGCTGTTCAACTGTGTTATGATATACATGATCATCTCAACCTCGGAGACCCTCAGCCAGGCTAGCAGAAAAGTGCTCATAGTCCTTAGAGAACTTCCACTTGCGGAGAAGCCTGAACAGTTCTACGACGAGATCCTACAGTTCACACTGCAAGTTAAGAGCGTGGCCATCTCTGTTTCTGCTAGTAAGTACTTTCTGCTGAAGAAAGAGACGATTCCGACCATCATCGGTTCATTGGCTAGCTTTTTAGTGATAGTGGTTCAATTATTCTCGATGCCCAAGTTCGTCAAACCGAACGAAAATCTGAATGTACAGTAATCAACATTTAAGATTAAACGTTTCTGACGGACTTAATGAGACACAAAAATACAAAGTTTGTAACCACAATATGTACTGTACCTACATGTATAACAGAGGAAACTTAAATAAATACAATGTATTCTCAATACTCAGAAATTATGGAGAACAATCCCATTTCACCTTAAAAGTTGATTTCAAACCAAGATAAATCATAACAAAATTTTTGACAGAATATAGGTTTTGGCAGAATGTGAAGGAGACTCAGAAGACAGTGATCAAAAAGTACTCAACTGAGATGCTGCAGCTGTCTTTGATATAATGATAAACTACATAGAACAACAATCATCCTTAACACCGGAAGATGTACAGTTTCAAAATTGTTGGTGCAGTTTTGTTTCATAATGTGATTCTCTTCTGTTTAACGAAAATGTAACAGAATTTTAAACCAATATAGCTTTGAATTGAACTATAATATACACTAATATACACTAACTATAATATACACTACACTGTCCGTCTTTGAAACTCACTGTAATTTTCACTTTTCAGTAATACACTTGTACACTGTTCTCTCTTAGTTTTTTCTTCCTAAAAATACTTTTTTGGGTTTCCAATTACAAAAGTTTAAATTATTAGGACAAACTAAAAATATTAAATAAAAAAAATTTTTTTTATTTCTTCAAAATTATATATTTGTATTAACACAAAAATATATCTGGAAGACGATATGTGTTGATTTGATTGATTTTACATGTTTCTGATTACATATTGTATCCAACTGCCTATTTTCTTTTTTAGTAAGGCCTTATTTCTGTACAAAGTATTCTACAACACACTATGCATTACCAAATATATAGACTGGTATTTGTTATGAGTAAAGATTGATCCATTCATATAGGGCTACAACAAATCGTTTACAACTGCATTTCCACCTGCTACTGTGAAGTAGGACACATCAACATTTTTATTTGAAAGAAAAAAATAGTAGTTCATATTCAGATGTGTGCAGAGTTGAATTTTATTTTTTAAACCTTGCAAAAGAAAAAACAAATTAAATTCAAATTACTCAGAACCGGCAAACTTTGAGGTGTAAGGAATGAAGTGTTTTTATTTAGTAATTTATTTGGTAATTTATACATTTTTTCAATCAATAACCAATAAAATAACATGATTCTGATGATAAATACAACGCAAATGACAATCAGATCAAGATGACTGGGAGTAATATGCTGATCTTATCAATTTCAGTAAGCTGTCATGGTAAGAAATTGCATTGTATTAGGTTGTCGTAACCAACGTTTAAATAGCAAAGAGAGAAAACGCTGATATTTTCAAATCAGCTCTTTAGTCTATAATGTCTTACTATTACTATTATTATTATTACTAGGCAGTCAGTATGTCATTAAACATTAATAAAAACTTAATTTTTTATAATAAACAAGATGGAAAATGTAGGAATGAATTGAAAAATATTATTGATGAGAATTTATTTTACCTTGGCTTTTAACTAGCCATAATAGATTCAATCTAATCTAATGGATGGATATTTTTTCTACTGCTAAATACCTGTTTAGATTGTTTGTAAATTAGTTTATATATCGGTTCGATTTAAAGTAAATTAATTTCAGTTTAGCTTATTGACAGTGGTAGCTACTCTGCCAGATTGTTTGTATGAAAAGCTAGTAGTGTTATGAAAACAAGGCTTTCAGACCAAAACCGGATGTGAGGAGGGACGGGGAAGTAACGTCACTCCAATTCCTTGCGTGATAGTTTACATGCTACAAATGTAGCATCATCACTATAATATATCAGATTGTTTACCTTTGGGTAACTGAATGTCAGTGAAGAGTGTGAAGCTAGGTGTCGAGGGTAACTGAGGTTCTTCACTCGTCTTCTGCTCGCTAACGTTGGCCGTCTCTTTCGCGACGGTCATGGGCTCAGCAGGGAAGGTGGATTGGTAAACAGCTGATTGTACTTCTCCTTCTTTGCTTTGCTGTAAACGCGGCACTACATCTTTGGCTTTGGCACTTGTTGATTTTTGATGCTCTGAAAAAATCAAATTGTTTTAGTTTTGTAGAGCCAACTGATCTCTTTTATGTTGTCAGGTAATTATTTTCTTTAATTCTTATGAAATTTGATCGAAGAAGAAAATGGTATCAGACTGTGAATAAGAAGGAAAGTCAATGAGGATATCTTCAAAGTAAATTCTGTTTTATAACATTCTTGTATTAGGAAATACTGTATGGGAAGATTACAACAATTTTCCATTTTGTTTTGATTTAATACTGTAGCAACTAGCATTAGCCATTTTAGTTGTGAGTCTATTTTTTTTTAGTTCTTATATTTTCTATGCATTCATTGTTGTATTAAAACTTTTAGAAACATTTGTTAAAATACTTGTTGCATGTATAAACTCATAACGTAATCACATTTCATGAAATTACAAGTTTTAAGTTTTACAAGACATCCTTTTTAAAACTAGATAAATCATAAATAATGTGTTTAAAGCAGAGTGTCTACCAGTTGATCAAACTGAATTTCAGTGAATTTAAGGGAGGACAACAATGTTAAAATGTACAACCTTTGGTACCCATAAGACAATTAGCTTTTCAGGTACTTGACGAGATACTCGGGCACAAAATATTTCGTGCCATATTGTGAGCTGGTTGCCTGCTCGAAAAATTATGTTTGCTCTCACTGATTCTGCATTATCATTGTTTGCACCAAGGAACAACAGGCCTGAGGAACTTTATTTTAGCTAGCCCGATTTTTCAGCGACTCTCGGGATCTTGAAATAAATTCCATTACTATTCAGTAACTTCTACTACTAGTAAAATCAGTGACTTTCCATAACTTCTAACTTTTGTTATTTCTTTGACTGCTAGACACCCTGCTAAAGTCCACATTCTCAAATGAAAGTGAAATTAAACATGTTTTCTATTAGACATTTTGCAACACTTACGAGGTCGTTTAGCATCTCTCAGAGCTTTGTTGGCAGCAAGTGTTGTGGCGATAACTTCATTAACTTCCGTCGTGATAACATTATGGTCACAAAGTAAATGAATCTGGGAATATGAATGAGACAAAGATTAGCAAATGAAATGACAAAAATTTAAAGTGGGTTTTACAAGTGTTTGACTAAATGACAACGAATACCCTTATTATCTAGGGGGTCAAATTGGGTTGCACATTGTCTTTCAGAGCTACTTAAGGAAAAAGTAAAAAAGTTACAAAAAGTAAGGACCAAAGCAAACAATATTTATCATCTAGCTGGTCTTGGGAAGCTGATGTACACGTACTTTGCTTCATATTCTTCACAGCTTACTATTGTGCTACTATCTAGTAAGACAGTGTGCATTCTAAGAGTGTGGATGTACAGTTTACAGGTAAAACAGTAACTTAAGGGAACAGTAAGATACACAATGCTAACTCCTCTTCCCTGACTCCCAGTGTTAAAGTCATTTACCTCCTCCTGAAATTGGCATTTAGTAAGAGGCAGGGTATAGGCTGGGATGAAAATTGTTTTAGCAAAAATCATAAATGCTACAAACTCTCAGACAACTGTGGCAAAAATATTATTCTTTAAGCAATTTTAAACAATTTGCCAGTAATATTATGTGTTTGATCATTAAATAAATCTTAAATTTTATTTGTAGCAAATTTTCTATAGTCTGCAAAACAATATAGCATCTTTAAGTTGTGTATAGCAAAGTGCTAAAAATGCTACTGCAGCTTGAACCCTGGTAAGAGGATGGAGGTAAATTAATATGCTTTTGACCTGATTTACCCATCTTGCAAGGCCTTCTACCTGAAAGAGAGTGGCTCAAATCCTAGCTCACACCTTTGCAAACTGCTCATCAGCATACAGAATTGATTTTTACCGAATCCTCTACACCTACACATTGTATGGCCACTCTTGTATTTTTTTTTATTTATATATTTTTTTAATTCATTTAATATTTTTGTGTTTTCAATCTAGTTGTAAATTTTAAATTTGACTTTTCCTTTTTTATTGCTAAATTTGACTAATTAAAAAATGTTGATAGTTTTTTATCACTTACTTGGTATTTGACCCAAAGTTCCTCTGTATTGGGTTTCTCACGGTAAGTAACGTACATACCTGCAAGGAATATTTGGAGTAGACAACGTTAGGACAGCCGAGACACTTGATCTGTCGCCTAGTCAGCTGCCGGTTGAGCAGCTCTGTGCGAATGTTGCAGTGTTCTTTCACCCAGTGGTTCTCCACACTTTCCGCTCTCAAACTCAGGAAGGAACAACTCACACAGCGGAAACACGTGTGTTTGTTCAGCTCACACACACGATATCTGTAGACCATCGGAAGTCACTACTAATCCATGCATTGAGGAAAAAGGAATGGAGGGACAACCAATTTACTTTAGAAAATAGTTCTAGGTGGTTGAAAGCAGACATCAAGTTCTTAACAAATTTAAGTGTGTTGTGAAACGTAGTTGTCAGGGACTTGAACTTTGGTGCAGGAGGGAGTTGATTCCAGACATAGCTTCAAAAATGTTATGAGTTTTGGATTGTTCATCAGCATTATTGTGACAGTTGCATTGAACATTCCACTTGCATAGACACTAAAACATTTTAGCCCCTTACAAGGGGACTTCTTCAGTAGTTTCAGGTTGTAAAATATATCACTGTTGAATGAAGTAGTATTCAGAAGTAACTAATAGAATATACAGTAGAATTAAGTAATATAGTATAGTCAATTAATCAGCACAATTGGGGGTTGGGCGGGAGGGAGTTCAGGTCATAGGCGTAACTAGGATGACCCTAAGGGGGAGGCCTGGGGGTTAACTCCCCCGGGAAACTTTTTAGACATGTAAACTTGCATTTTAGGGTATTTAGAGAAATAAAATAGATTTTTATTTTATTTTATTAATTGTAGAAAAACTAATTTTAAAAATTCAGGTTTTAGGGTCAACCCCCTCTCGGGGGGTTGGGGTTGGATACGAAACTGGTTCAGATAACTGATTTTTTCAGTCGGTCACGCTTTTCCAACTGTTTTAACCTTAAGTGTTTTAACCAAAGGTAGAGATGTTCAACTAGATTTTTTCTAAAAGTTTAGATGTTCTATAATGAGGTTTTACCTATATGAGAACTGAAAATTTAATTCAAACAACAATTAATTTAGATAGTTGTAAAAAAAATAGTTTGGTTAAAGTGCTTGTCTTTGTAAATATTTTATTTAATTCTTTGTTTGAAGTTCATTGTTGATGATGGTGAGTTAATGTTGTTCAAAGGTTTATTGTGGACATTTTCCATCACGATTGTAAAAAACAATACACAACGTTTCGGGATCTGGAATCTGATCCCGTCCTCAGGATAATATTATAATATAAGCCTCAAAACAGTATCTTTCAATCAAAAACATTCAAAACATTTTTAAATCAAATATATAACCACTAACAAAAAACCAACAAAAATAAATATGGTAATAGGCACACAGAAAGACCCGGGACTGATTTATGTTTTCATTGTGATGTCTCCAGAGCCCAAAAACACTATTCGTTCAAATTTATACACATGTATATATATACATCTTTTTCCTTATAGGTAAATCCACTAAAACTAATAGAAAAACTTAAACTTACTTAGGTTCAGGAGGCTTTGGTTTCACCATCTTGATGAGATTAGGCATTTGCAAGCTTTCTATCTTCACAAACTCGGTTGGTTCACATTTCACTGGTTCCTTGTCACTTTTGGCGTTGGTCAAAGAGGTTAGTTCATCCTATAAGAAACAAATCGTTACTTTAGAACAGTTGAAGGGCTTCTTGTGATTAATCCTAAATAAATTATAGATTTTCATGCTTGATACAGGCCAAGTATAACGGTTGGTACGGTTGATAGTGTTTATGACGTTTATGTGCAGTAAAATGTCAGGTGTGAATAAAACATCTTGCACCTTTAAATTCACATTTTTATCCAATATCCATGTACTATTACTGGAACAAATCTAAAGCGGGCTCCAGACGTGCGCCATTCGCAAAGCACGAAATATTTGACGTGATTTATACGTGTTGTTTTCCAAAAAACAGTTCGTTTTGGGAATAGAAAAAATTATCATTGACTTTGATGTGTGCAAAAATACTGACAATGAACGGGAAAACACGAGCACAAATGTTTGCTGCTTACCAAGTAGACAAACACCTATCCTCACTACTTGCGATTTGGTGAGTCGCTGTTCAGTGCTTGGCGAATGGCGCATGTCTGGAGCCACCTTAACAGCTGTTTTCATATAAAGTTTTTTCCTACTTTTAACCATACGTTTCCATTCCATCCACATTGGGCCTCGAGATTGTGAGTGTAATGCATGAAGCAAAGCAAGGAGTGAGTCATTCCAGTACAAGACTTATAAATAGTAGGGCATGAACCCACAACATCGCTGTATGGATCTGTAGTCTACCATGCCACTGACTGAGCCAACCAATTGAATTATATATGTTAATCCAAATACTTACAGTAGACCCTCAGTAATACGCCAGATGATTGAGCTAACAATTTCACTGACAAAACTTGCCAAATCTACCTATCAAGCTTGAGAAAACTGATGATTGAGTTCAACAAGTTTACTGACCAGATCAGTTTTGTCGGAGGGTGCGAGAGCGTTCAAAACAGACGAGACCTGGCTGCTGGTTATGTTAGGCAGTGTCCGAGAGTCAGACAGTTGTAGTTGCGACAACAACTTGTCTGTATACTCCTGTGAGGGGTGTTCTGAAAAATTATGTCAGTTAAATATCACATATATCAACCCTGTACAAGCTTCTCTATAACAAGTATCAAAACACAGCTATAAAGAATGCATGATGTTTATACAAAAATATAGAAACCAAACGTTTAGCAGTCCAGGTAATGAACACATTGTAGCGGAAAATTTTTGTATAAGCCAAATTTGGAACAATTTTAGGGGAAGGGTCCTTAAACAACATACTAAAAGTACCCACCGGTGGAGGTAGAGCTAAAGGTCCCTTTTTAGGTTTTTTGTAAATAAGGAACTCGAAAACTACCTACCAACTTTTTGTATACAATACTAAATTAGCAAATTAAAGAATATTGAATTTCCTACAAGAAAAGTATATTATGTAACTAACTATTCCGGTTCAATTATTTACAAGATATAATGAATAGGTATCTAATTCAAATAATCCTTCCATAAGAAATTCGTGTAAACTTGTATGACAAATAAATGCTAAACGTGGCAAAGCCTATCCACTTAAGGCCAATATAACCGATATTCAATTATTTCTGGTGCCAAACACCCTGACCCTGGTTTTATACCCACCGAATGGTACCCAAGTGGAGGAAGGTGAGTACCTTACCCCCCTATCGGAGCAACTTTCCCCTCCTTTGGAGTCATTCTAGTGTCTCCGAGTACTTTTGTGACTTAAACCTCAAAATTATCTTAGAGTCAAAAACACTTCTTTACAATATGTTATAGGTTCTAAATTGTATAATTAATATTAATGTAGGTATGTTGTGAGTGTCACTTGACATTAAAATACAAATAGAAGTAAAATAAACAACTATTACTTAGTTTTGGAGGACTGATTGCTCTAGATGTAGAAGATCACTTACAAACCGTGATAATTACATGTAGAAGATTACTTATCACCTACAAACTGACTCCATTTAGGCCCTACTTACAAAACTATTTAAATTTGGTGTTAGGTACCAAAGAACATAATTATTTAGATATTTTGCTTTCGCCTACTTACCATTATGATGTTCAATGTCTGAAGGCAAAATCGTTTCAACATGATCCAAATGGACATCTTCGTTGCTCACGGTTTCAAGATTCTCAGGAGTTTCATTACAAGTTTCCACCACAACACCTGTATCCAATAACATTTCTTGGTCAGCACAAACAACTTGTGTGTCAGAATCTATCAAAACTGTCTCATTTATAATTGAACTGTCTAAATTCTCAACTTCACTTTCCACACAACCGTCCGAGGTGATTATTATTCCTCCGTCTTCTAGTGTATGTTCCATTACACCGATGTCAGACGATTCAAATTCTGTGTGACCTTCTGATGTTGTAACAGTGTTTAAAATCTCTGGGAAATTTGTTGTCTGAGTCAAATTTGTTAGTGTTAAATTGTTTTCAGTGGATTTGGTAACTACACTGGAGTTGAAGGAAAAGTTGTTGTGTGTTATGATGATGTTGGGTGTGGAAATGGGTATATTGTTATTTACTGATGACTTTTCAAGATTGGAAGCGCTCGCAAGTGTGTTTTCTGTTGTTGGATTATCCTTTGGAATCGTATCGCTAGTGCTATTTAAGCTATTTTCATTGCTACATTTTTCACTTTTAGATCCGTCGATCCGATCTTCGTTTGAGCGCTCCAATGCAGACTGAGAGAGAAGAGAACTTGGTGGTTTCAACATTATCTTCTTCGCTGTAATCGGTTTCTTTCTGACTTTTGCAAGTCTCGGAACAGGTTTGGTGATAGGTTTTTTACCCGTCGGACTTTGTGACAATAAAGGATTACTGAGTAAAATATTTGCTGGAACATTGTTTTTAAGATCTTTAATCACAATCGTAGAGTACTGGTTCTGAGGTAGCAAATTGACGTTGGATATCGCAGTGAATGTCACAGGCTGTTTCCCAATCATTAATGAAGGACTTGCGTCCACTTTTGGTTTTATCGTTGGTAACGTCGTTAATGCCAATGTAGCATTTTTCTTTCCAGTTTCTTGCCAAGTCATTGGCAAATGTTCACTGGATAGAATTACTTTGTATTCATTCATTTTTATTACCTGAAAAAAAAACAACAACATACGATTTAAAAAACTAAAGACAAATAACAACAAATTAATGATTTTAGTATGTCAGTAACAATTAATGTAAATAATCTTCATAAGAATACTGAATGAATGCTTAAACAATGGTTATTCAATAAAGAAACTGCAACGTTTATGCAATAGGTCAAGATATCCTGGTGACGTCGTACCAACCTTTTAGAGAGGTCAGTCCCTCATAAACAGGAAGGCTCAGTCTTGTGTTACACAATGTAACATAGGAGGACCTTGTTTATTTCATTTTTTTTAATTTTTATTTTTTTAATTCCTTTACCTATCTAGGCTAAACCTTTTGCATTTTTAAAGTTTTAAGTAAACAGTCCAAACCCCAGTCTTTTTGCTTGGAATCAAAGATTTCAATTATTTTAAATTATTCCACGTACTTTTTCACTCATTTTCAAGCATACGTTTTTTTAGAAGCCTAATAAAAAAATAATGTCATTAACTTTCGGATACTGTAGGTAAGACCTACACTGTTGACGTTAAAAACATGTATGTAATGTACGGCCTATATAACGTTGATGCGGAACTACATTCTGCAGCCACGCTGCATAAGGATTCAGCTATAAATATTTACCTAAAGGGTGTTGCTAAGTAAAGTAAGTATGTCATACCATACCTATTTAAGGGTAAATTTTTTCCATGTACACACTTTACTATTTGATTTAAATACAGGCGGCCAAGCGCCAAGCAATGGTTGGGTAAGAGTCTTTTTCAGGCTCATGATTGTTTTAAAATGACATTAAATAAATAGTAAACATCAAACACACACTTACCGAAACGTCTTCACCTAATTAATAGAAGTGAGACAGTATCCTTAAAAACATACATTATACAAGGGCATAAACCAATAAACTTGTTTTTTTTATCTTGATAAAACCATGATACCACATTATACTGATGAATGTAAAATGAGAGCAGAATAACAAACTCTGGCACTAGTGGCAATTTACTACAGCTGTACAATACAAGCTAGCAGTTTATAACTAGTAGTACGCTTATTCTGCACGTAACAGGATGAGTGAACATGAGCGCAATAATGAAAGAGTTTACCCACACCTAGCACACTTAACGGTGTCACTGGTGTACACAATAATGTTATTTGTATGGGCAAATCGACCCATGAGTCGGGGCAAATAATGGTGAGTTGGTGACTCAAGTCGGTAGCATCACGCGAACTTCGGGCCCAAGGCAGCGATGTCGTGAGTTCGGACCCTGGTCACTGCCACTAAATTTTATCAGTACAGTTCACCTTTGTACTGTACCGGCTCACCAATTGCTTTGCTGTAAACGATCCACGCACGGGCGAGGTTAAAAGAGGCTGGACCAACCTCTTAAAAAAACCAAATCTCAGTCAACAACAATCCTAACTTCTCGTCCATTAATTAACCAAAGTCATTGGTAATATACGTAACGTATTTCCTGTTTCCCTCTCTTCTCATAGCATTTTATTATTGCAGATACGTTAATCTAACTGTCACAAAGAGTTCCCACACTCTGGACTCCTCGCCTCGACTACTCCCTTCACCACTTCCTACGTCGTGGACCTGTTTCCCTCCCTTCCCATAGCATTTTTAGAATTGCAGATACTGTACATTATTCTAATTATCACAAAGGGTTTCTACAATCCGGAATGCTCGCCTCAACTATTTCCTTCACCACTTCCTACGTAGTAGACCTGTTTCCCTCCCTTCCTATAGCATTTTAGAATTTCAAATAGATTAATTTAACTTTCACAAAGGGTTCCCACACTCCGGACTGCTCACCTTGACTACATCCTTCACCGCTTCCTACGTCGTGGACCTGTTTCCCTCCCTTCCCATAGCATTTTAGAATTGCAGTTACATTAATCTAACTATCACAAAGGGTTTTTACACTCCAGAATGCTCGCCTCGACTACTTCCATTACCACTTCCAACGTCGTGGACCTGTTTCCCTCCCTTCCTATAGCATTTTAGTATTGCAGGTATATTAATCTAACTGTCACAAAGGGTTTCTACACTCCGGACTGCTCGCCTTGACTACTTCCATCACCGCTTCCTACGTCATGGACCTGTTTCCCTCCCTTCCCATAGCATTTTAGAAATGCAGTTACACTAATCTAACTGCCACAAAGGGTTTCTACACTCCGGACTGCTCGCTTTGACTACTTCCATCACCGCTTCCGACGTCGTGGACCTGTTTCCTTCCCTTCCTATTGGAATTTAGAATTGCAGTTATATTAATCTAACTGCCACAAAGGGTTTCTACACTCCGGACTGCTCGCCTTGACTACTTCCTTTACCGCTTCTTACGTCGTGGACCTGTTTCCCTCCCTTCCTATAGCATTTCATTATGGTAGATACATTAATCTAACTGCCACAAAGGGTTCCCACCCTCCGGAATGCTCGCCTTGACTACTTCCTTCACCACTTCCTAAGTGTCATGAACCTGTTTCCCTCCCTTCCCATAGCATTTTTAGAATTGCAGATACATTATTCTAACTGTCACAAAGGCTTCCCACACTCCGGACTGCTCACTTTGACTACTTCCTTCACCACTTTCGACATCGTGGACCTGTTTCTCTCCCTTCCCATAGCATTTTTAGAATTGCAGATACATTATTCTAACTGTCATAAAGGCCCCCCACACTCCGCAGCGCTCGCCTTGACTACTTCCTTCACTATTTCCTACATCGTAGACCTGTTTCCCTATCTTTCCATAGCATTTAAGAATTACAGATACGTTAATTTAACAGTCATAAAGGGTTTCCGTACTCCTTTCTTTTCACTGCTCACCTTTCCGCTTTCTTTACTACTCTCTACGTCGGGGACCTGTTCCCCCCCCCCCCTTCGCATAGCATTTTAGTATAAAAATATACCAACATTTTTGAATATTTAATATTCAATGCCAACATTAAATTGAATAATGTAAAAAGCTGCTTTGTTCTAAATACATACATACCTATATACTTTTAATTAAAAGGCGAAATTTTAATACTGAACATAAACGGTATATAACTGCCGACTAATATTGTTAAGTTCAATTTATTATTATGAAAGTTGTAAGATTTAATTAGCTTAAATAACATTATTCTGAAAGCTGTGAAATTATAATGATATATATTCATAGACGCCAAACTGTTTACTCCATGAATGAAAGAGCTTAGAGTAAAAGTCGTTCTCTCTGTCTTAAGTAGACAACAAAATTGTTGGTCGCAAAACGTAAACAAATAAAAAGAAGAAGAAGGTAGCTCCTAATGTTATTCTTATGGGACAAATTTAAAAATGTTTTTTAGGTATTTTATAATTACTACTGAGCGGAATCGTCTAGAATTTTAATGGTGTCTTTACACTGGTGTCATAACTATTTGTGCAAAATTTGAACGCTATAAGTGCAACGGTTCTTGAGTTTTAGGTGCGAACACACACACACACACACATACTCCAGCGGACAACTTTTCTCCGACTCCGCTATACACGATACATAGATTCGTTCACTTCGTTCACTCATCTATTAGAATCTACACCCTCTGATACTACTACGTCATGGACCTGTTTCCCTCCCTTCCCATAGCATTTTAGAAATGCAGTTACACTAATCTAACTGCCACAAAGGGTTTCTACACTCCGGACTGCTCGCTTTGACTACTTCCATCACCGCTTCCGACGTCGTGGACCTGTTTCCTTCCCTTCCTATTGGAATTTAGAATTGCAGTTATATTAATCTAACTGCCACAAAGGGTTTCTACACTCCGGACTGCTCGCCTTGACTACTTCCTTTACCGCTTCTTACGTCGTGGACCTGTTTCCCTCCCTTCCTATAGCATTTCATTATGGTAGATACATTAATCTAACTGCCACAAAGGGTTCCCACCCTCCGGAATGCTCGCCTTGACTACTTCCTTCACCACTTCCTAAGTGTCATGAACCTGTTTCCCTCCCTTCCCATAGCATTTTTAGAATTGCAGATACATTATTCTAACTGTCACAAAGGCTTCCCACACTCCGGACTGCTCACTTTGACTACTTCCTTCACCACTTTCGACATCGTGGACCTGTTTCTCTCCCTTCCCATAGCATTTTTAGAATTGCAGATACATTATTCTAACTGTCATAAAGGCCCCCCACACTCCGCAGCGCTCGCCTTGACTACTTCCTTCACTATTTCCTACATCGTAGACCTGTTTCCCTATCTTTCCATAGCATTTAAGAATTACAGATACGTTAATTTAACAGTCATAAAGGGTTTCCGTACTCCTTTCTTTTCACTGCTCACCTTTCCGCTTTCTTTACTACTCTCTACGTCGGGGACCTGTTCCCCCCCCCCTTCGCATAGCATTTTAGTATAAAAATATACCAACATTTTTGAATATTTAATATTCAATGCCAACATTAAATTGAATAATGTAAAAAGCTGCTTTGTTCTAAATACATACATACCTATATACTTTTAATTAAAAGGCGAAATTTTAATACTGAACATAAACGGTATATAACTGCCGACTAATATTGTTAAGTTCAATTTATTATTATGAAAGTTGTAAGATTTAATTAGCTTAAATAACATTATTCTGAAAGCTGTGAAATTATAATGATATATATTCATAGACGCCAAACTGTTTACTCCATGAATGAAAGAGCTTAGAGTAAAAGTCGTTCTCTCTGTCTTAAGTAGACAACAAAATTGTTGGTCGCAAAACGTAAACAAATAAAAAGAAGAAGAAGGTAGCTCCTAATGTTATTCTTATGGGACAAATTTAAAAATGTTTTTTAGGTATTTTATAATTACTACTGAGCGGAATCGTCTAGAATTTTAATGGTGTCTTTACACTGGTGTCATAACTATTTGTGCAAAATTTGAACGCTATAAGTGCAACGGTTCTTGAGTTTTAGGTGCGAACACACACACACACACACATACTCCAGTGGACAACTTTTCTCCGACTCCGCTATACACGATACATAGATTCGTTCACTTCGTTCACTCATCTATTAGCCTGAAGATAATCATTTCAAGGTCTGATTTAATTAGGTAATTTAACAATAATTAACCGTATGGTGTATGAGTTGAAACGGTTTGAGTTTCAATGAAAAGTAAGTTAATGTCTGCTTTCATTCTGATTCTGATAAAAGATCATGAAGACCTAAATTAATTGTCATGAAAGAGGCCTAATTTAAAGTTAACAAAGTTTTTTTGTTTTTTTACATTTAACATACTTGAGCAGCAGGAACAGGGGTGAGAGTGAGGACTGAAGTTGCATTGGCACCAACTGAGCTGGTTTCTAGTTCCATTTTACTGTCCTCGGACTTGACATCTTTTTCTGTTAATAGTGCCTATAAAGTGTTTACAAGATTAAATAGTAGATAGGTATGCTTAAGTTGAGATGTTAAAATAAATTATAGGTCGTTTTGAACCTTCCTATAAACCTTTTACAAGGTGTATCTACAAGTAAACATTAATATACACACCTATTTATAACAGAGCCATTTTCAAACTCGCTAACTTATTTCGCAGTTAACCTTCAGTCATTTCATCAGATATTTTTTACTTACAGTCAAAAAACGTATTCATTGGTCTTGTCTTGCATCCGGCATGAGATACAATAATTGACCAATTTATTAGGCCCATAACAAAGCTTGTAAAATGTTATGTGTACATGAGCTGCAAATGGAGTGATTCTGTTCACAAATGATGCCAGAAAGAAGCAAACTGCCTCTTTGCTGTGTACACACAAAATACGGAGCTATGTGCACAAACAACCCTTTAGTTAAAAAAGCACCCCTTGTAAATACCTATTTAGGATATAGTTTGAAATGTTGGATCAATCGAATAAGATCCTTTGGAGTTTTCAGATAATCATTGCAACACTCATTTATGAAAAAAAGCTTGAAACAAAAAAAGTTTATTAGACAATGACCTGTTTCATCATTACCTAAGGCCCTAAGGTCGATGACAAAACAGGTCATCAACTTACTAACCTAGGTACCGTATCTAGAAGCTCTACATGGTCATGTTCAATCGTGTCTGTTTGAGTTTTTTGCTGGGGCAATCTCGACACTTAGAAGCATCGGTCCACCCGATGCAAAAAAAATTCAATGTGTTTGAATTTTTAATAGTTGGGAAAGTTAGTCAAAATTTCTAACTAGTTAGAAGTTAGTCCCATAAAAAGTAACTGATAGAAGTTACTAGTTAGTTAGTTTAAAAAGTAACTGATAGAAGTTATTAATTAGTTTAAAAACTAACTGATAGAAAATAAAGTTAGATTTCGACATTTGTAGAAGATAGCTGTTTGTTGGACGGTTGTTTAAAAGGATTTCATATGTAATGAAATAATGACAAATCTTGGTTACTAATTATTGTGTTTTAATTAAATATTAATTAAACATTGTCACATTTACATTACATGTAATGTAAAAACATTCATTACTACAACAAAATTTACTTTAAATGGCTATTAAACTTTAAAAGAAGTTGTTTTTCAAAATTGATGTCGCTGATTCTTCCTCGTCTGTTACTCTGTTAGTGATGACTAGGCTTGCCGCTCTGAACAGGCGTTCGCAGTGAAAAAAGGTGTTTTTTAATTTGTAGATTTATATTTGTAGTTATCTTATTATAATGTATTTGTTTCATGACTAGTGAATATTTTGTTAGTAAATTTATGTAAATTTATAACTAAATAATGATTTACACATTAGTTTGCCGTGGGTGAATACTGAAGCAATGTCAGTGTGGTGGCCAGGTACACATCGTCAACGTCCCAGATTCGCACGCGCTCCCGCCCGGTTGGGAAATGTCGTACACACACCAGGCGGCCCGCTACCAATCACAGGAGAAATTGTTGTCTACAAGTACAAATATAAATCTGTTTAAAAACCACCTTTGTTCGCATTATAAAATCTGTCATATTGGTGTTATTTCTTGTGTCACGGCAAACACGATGGTATTTTGAACGAAATTTTCAGTGTCTTATTAACGATGTTAGCATACGTTTCAAAAATTTACAGCAGCATAAAAACTATTGTGAATAAAATTTTTAAAATGCATGGAAATGTTAACAATGAACCTACCAATAAGCCATAAAAATTTCAGAAAGATTGGCTCAGTGGTTTGTTTACAAATAAATTTTAAACTTCAGTGTTATTGCAGAGTTTCTTAAAAACCGGTACTTTTTAGGATCTTTCAACTAGGCTATATAAATTTTTCTGGTAAACGGAAATTGTTTTAATTGACATCACGTAAAATGTATTTAAGCCAGCTTATATTTAATTTTTGTTTCAACAAAATCGGATAATTCATCTCAGATATATTTAGGCTCGAACTCGAGTGCACATATTTATTTCTCCGACAAAGGTAATACAAATGCTTGTCATCACTCTGTTTTCAATAGTTCAAAAGACAAAAACAAATAGTGATCATCTCACCTTTCCTGACATAAACATTACTTTCGATACACAAACATAAGTTACAAATGAAGTTCCCGGTTAGGTAAAAACACAGTTTGTTGATGTTCAATTAGCTGAATTTTACACCAAAATTTATTGTACAACAATTAATGGACAGCAATTAATGGATTACGAAATATCAGATAATTTTTTTAAAGTCTGATGAAGTAGTTTTTCCAGTGTGATAAAAGTATAGACTACTAAATTTAAAAGTGACCTATTTGTGGCGAGATAAAGTTTAAAAGAGCATGGGAAACACATTGAGAAATAAACTATAACTGTACTAAAAAATAAAAATTATATTCATTAAAAAAATACATAGGCCTATTCCACTTTAAGTTAAAACGAGACCATCATACTTTTTCTACACTTACCTCGAAGCACTTGTGACAGATGCTTTAACTATTTTTGTTTTGGGTACAAATACAATAAACATTTTAACGTGTTTCCACCCTTTTCATTTTTTCAACTTGTTGAAATATGTCACTTAAGATCGGTCACTTGATATCACACTCGCCCGCCATTGCAAACAAATATTATTAATCTACTCCTACTTAATTAAAACTGTTCACCTTAATAACTCATGTATTTAAAATATTTAACTATCACTAAAATATATATAACGACAAGACAACTAAGAAACTAACAAAAAATTTACACCTGTCACGGTCAGATATTGAACACCGACTGAAGTGAAGACATTGTTTTGACACTTGAGATTACAGTACCTATCAATCGCCAAACAAACATTCCCCCTTCCCACCCTTCGGTGCTTGGGGTGTTGTTATTGGCTACCATTGGCTCGCACCCCGGGTGCGAAAAGTTGAAAAGCTAACGATTTAAAACTAGCGAATATATTATCTATTCGTTGTCTATTAAACTAACTGAGTAGAAGTTATTTCCAGCTCTTTTTAAAACTAACGAATAAAATAGAAGTTAGCCAAAAAAACGAACGAATAGCGCTATTCGTTAGAATATCTATTCGTTATTCCCAAGTATGAATTTTACCTGTCTAAGAATACCATCTTGGTGCTGCCAAATGAGCTGATTTGCTGGCTGGCTGGACACTATAAAATCACCGTTTGATAGAAGCATATCTGGCTTGATTTTAGTTATCAAGGCTGAAGATACTGCGTCCACCTGATTTTAACATAAACATAGATTAGCTTTGCTGATGAAAGAGAAATGATGCAGGTGAAAATAGTCTGAAAAGAGTTTAAATGAAATGTAAATTTGTTACAGACTTTATAATGATTTTTTGGCACTGAGTTTTCATTGACAAATTTGGTTTATAGAAAAATTCCTGTACTTGACACTTTCTGTGTTTGGTCAAAAAAACAAAGCTTTATTTGGCAGCTGAAAAAACCCGTCTTTACAACTTTATCAGACATGTCTTGAATGTATTTTGAGAGAACTTGAATGCCTCTACAACTATCACAATGAGAGTTCATATTTTCTAACAAAAGTGGTAGTCTTTCGGCAGGCATTCTTGTCTCCTGTGTGTAGGAATCAATGTTGTAATCGGATACAGTTCCGTAGAGAGCTTACAATTTAATATCGGAGGAAATATTAGTTTTTGTCAAAATGCATCTCCTGTATTAGGATACAGCACATTAGGATCGACCGGCGGACACAGGTAATTTAACATTTTATTGAAATATTAGTTTGATATTATATTGTATCGGATAGGCTATTATAGTTTTCATTCGATAACTTATAAATAGGTCTATCGACTGTAGGCCTAGATGTTTTTCAAGAAGATTTTTTTTATAGTACTACTTTGTATCGGATAATAGCATAGGTTCTCTGCGGAACTGTTTTCTTGTAATCTTCATTAAAGTTATTCGCCAAATGCACATTCTTCATACAGTTGCAATGGTTAAACTTTTTTAATTGGTAGCATACTATGACTTTTTCACTTTACTTATGATTTGTAAATAATGTAGGCTAACTTTTTTGCTTTCAATTTAAGTTAGTGCTTGATACTTAACTTACAGTTGGTTAATATTTAGTGACATGGAAAAAACAGCTCAAACAATACCAAATAAATCGACCTTATACTACAAAATCACAGAATATCAGGAAGAACATATAGCCTACATTTACCATAAAGTAACGCTCAAAACACAAACCGTACACTCACTCACACTACACTACAACACTACATACACATAAAAAAGTAAGTAAGAAGAATGATTAAGAAGATTTGACAATTCTGCGGTGAAGACTCCAATGGTAAATGGTAAAAGTTAAATGGATTAAATGTTCCAAGCTTTCTTGCCTCCTTCCGCAAGTTTTACAGCAATTTAATAACTTAAGTATCAAATATTTAAATAGTAGAGATATGGCACTTGAAATACAAATATAGGACAAAAGAACGTTGATGATTCTACTGTTATTAGGCCTATTCCATAAGATTAACATAGAAACTTTGAGGTCCACTGGTGTGATTCCCTTACCATACAATGAGCTCATTTTAAGAGAAGCACAACTTTAACAAGATCTTTTAAATGACACCAAAATGGTCAAAATTTGTTATAACTCTAGGAGGAGTTCTGTTCACAAAATATTTTGAGCCCTCCCTAACTTAAAGTCACCTAAAAGATAACTTAGTGTAGAAATTTTACAGTTACAAATCAGTACGGTACAACAACCTACCGTGGTTTGTGGAGATTGAAAAAAGGCAGGCCTACAGTTTGTGGTGGTTTTGGTAGGTTCGCTAATTTTAATGGTATTGGGTTGAATCCATTTGGACGCACAAATTTTTGAGGGTACAGCTTTGCCCTTAGGCAGCAAAAACTGTTCTTTTCTTATCTTCATACCTACTTACCAAGATCACGCTGAAACAAAATAACAGTATTCAACTTCAACTACACTAAGAGTGGCAAGTGTTGGAATAATCTTACATTAAACTTAGACATTACTTGGGAACAATAAACCACACTTTGGAAATTAGGTTAATGACCATTCACTCATCAGTCTTGTAGTATAAGTTAAATGTGGCATTGTTCTTATAAACAATATACATAATTAATATCCTTACATATAGTCAATATCAGAAATGGCACTTCTTTACACTGTATTTTTTAATAAGTTTAATTGCTGTGCTAATTTAAGAGTGAAAATAAAATAGTAGGCCTAGCAAGCCTATTTTAGGAGGGTCACTAAAAGCAGTCAGTAAAAAGCATCAGAATAATTACAAATAAAATGTGTCTATTAATTAAACAGCATTTCTATTCACCTTAAAAAAAATAATGACTGGTATTTAAAATAAATTAATATCTTGGACTCCTAAATATAAATAAACACATTTTTAGGTTAAACTTCAGTATTTTGTAACCACTCACTCTCCCCTCCACTCCGGTGGGGCACACGGAAGATTTCTCAGGTGCCGTTTGACGTCACTAACTGCTGACGTCACTAACTGCTGCGTCTGAAGAAACATACAATTTTATAATTTTCTATTATTAAATTAAACTGTCATAACCTAACCAAACTAACCAAACGTGCTGATAATGGAAAAATCGAATAAAGGTTTACTAATCTAAAAAATAGTTTTGTTCATAAAATAAAGTTATAATTGCCTAAAATTCAATTTTATAATTTTTTAATTATAAAATTAAACTGTCATAACCTAACCAAACCAACCAAACTTGCTGATATGAAAAAAATTGTTGATAAAAAGTTAGTGCCGCCGGCGGGATTCGAACCCGGAACATTAGATTATCGGCCCGCAACGCTATCCACTGCACCACCGAGGCCGATGGCTCATAACCGTATCGTTGCGGTATTGGTGTTCCCTCAAAGTGACGTCAGCAGTTAGTGACGTCAAACGGCACCTGAGAAATCTTCCGTGTGCCGTTTCGCCTCCACTCCAACTCCACTGACAGTTGACAGCTGTTGACGTTGACAGAGAGGGTAGGGACATTCGACTATAGTCAATCGTAGGCGTAGGGACCATTGAGTTAAATAGATTGGTACTTTATGCTATCGCTTTATCGAGGGTGAAGTTGGGTTTCATCATAGATTACATTGGTGTCCATTTTACCATAGTTTGTCATTGTCTATGGATCTATCATACAGGGTGAGTTTTAATTGTCCCCCCCCCCAACTTTTTTCTACATTTTTTCAAATATCAATCCCAGACCACTTCCAAACATTGTTGGGTAGTAAGTACTTCATTATGACAAGGTGGCCATTTCCGGCCGCCATCTTGGATCCGCCATATTGGATGCAAAATTTTTTTTTCAAATGTAAAGGTGGGGTTGTGACCCAATATTTTGAACTAAATTTTTACCTTGAATACAATGCCGCAAACCGTTTAAAAAAATCTTGATTCATTCTAAAGTTATGAGGGCTTTCTAAAACTTTATTTTTAGCCCATTTTAACATTGTGCATTTACAAACTAAGACCATAATCTCAAAATAGTGCTAGATAAAGATAAGTATACACTACCAGTAATTGTCGACCTATTTTCACTTGGTTATGACTGATGTATTTTTTTCGGCCGCCATCTTGGATCCGCCATTTTGAAATGTGATAAATTATTTTAAATATGAAGGGGGCGTTGTGACCCATCATTTCGAACTACTTTTTTAAGCTGAACTTAATTCCATGATCCGTTTTTCATTTTCATTTTTTAATTTTGAAATATTGACATTTTTAACAAAAAAATTTCAATATTTCATAAATAAAACTTGATAACGAAAAATGGATTGCGGCATTGTCTTCAGCTTAAAAAAGTAGTTCGAAATGATGGGTCACAACACCCCCTTCATATTTAAAATAATTTATCACGTTTCAAAATGGCGGATCCAAGATGGCGGCCGAAAAAAATACATCAGTCATAACCAAGTGAAAATAGGTCGACAATTACTGGTAGTGTATACTTATCTTTATCTAGCACTATTTTGAGATTATGGTCTTAGTTTGTAAATGCACAATGTTAAAATGGGCTAAAAATAAAGTTTTAAAAAGCCCTCATAACTTTAGAATGAATCAAGATTTTTTTAAACGGTTTGCGGCATTGTAATTAGGGTAAAAATTTAGTTTGAAATAATGGGTCACAACCCCACCTTTACATTTGAAAAAAAAAATTTTGCATCCAATATGGCGGATCCAAGATGGCGGCCGGAAATGGCCACCTTGTCAAAATGAAGTACTTACTACCCTACAATGTTTGGAAGTGGTCTGGGATTGATATTTGAAAAAATGTAGAAAAAAGTTGGGGGGGGGGACAATTAAAACTCACCCTGTAGATTAAAAGAAGTAGACATACTCTGTACTCCTTTTATCTATGGTTCTATGTTCATTGTTTGTAGACTATCTACAAAGGATAATATCCCAAAAGTATTTTGTTCTTTAATTGTTCTATACATCGATGGTTCAAGAAAAGTTTTCGAAGTATTCATAGTATAGCACGATTACTTTTTCTAGTAACCGTGTAGTATAGTAATAGTAAATGGAAGTACATGGATAAGAAATAATAATCTAAAAAATGCTTGTCTGAGGTTCTTTCCATGGTGGAAGAAATTTCGCTTTGCTTGTAATCAAGTCAGCTGATTGCTGCAGATTGATCAGACAGTGCAGTAAAACAGGTGCTTCATCAATACTCCATTCCGATTTCCGATCAAATAAAATTCTTAAGTTATTGCGAAGTATCCTATAAAATCTATAACTATATTTAATGGAGAAAGTAATGCATAGCCACTACTTTCTAACCTCATCTAACAGCACTTCACACTGTTGAGCGTGTGGTCCTTTAAAGTCACCACCAAAGGAACCCCACGAGACAAATCCCACCAAGGGACACGAACAAGCACTCCCCGGCGTCTGTGTGGCCCTTTAGAGGTACCAATTTAATAACTTAAGTATCAAATATTTAAATAGTTGTAAACGAACAACCAAGACACTGAGAGAGTGCGGAGAGGTATCAGAAAAGCAGCCTCTGGACATCACGCCTGAAAGATGCTGGTGATTGCCAAAAGAAGTCTTAGATGTGGGCAGCCGTCTTTGTTAAATCTCCGCAGTCTACTGGAGCACTGGAGGTTCCGTGGTTATAAGGTTAAGGGTATAATTTGTGGACTGATATCTCATTTTGAACACAGCTCTTGATCGGGTTTCTCTGGGAGCGTTTTAAAGTCAACTTCATTCAAGAGTTCGGTGCAGTGAATTATCCCATCTGTCAGCTTAAGGTCTTAAGGAAGACAATGTCGTTGACTTGCCGTCTCTGGGGTAGCGGTTGAAGGCCGTACTGCACCCCGAGAGCTGCTACAGGCATGTCCAGGAAAGGAAACCCGAGTTTTAGACCCAGTAGTCTGAGAAATCGTGTTTATTTGATCATGTTTAAGATTTCAATGTGGCCATAGTTTGATAAGGATTCCAGATGACAGTGCAGTACTCCAAGCGATTGGTCGGGCTAGGGATTTGTACAGCGTGAGAAGTGCAATGTCCCAATGTGAGATTTGAGAGATCTTATTGTAGAGCGATGAATAAACCCCAGCAGAGAAGAGGCTCTTGAGGATGGATCAGGTATGTGGGCTGAGTGAAGGGACAGTGATCACACCAAGATCCTTGAATTTCTCGACCACGCTGAGAAGACTTCTGCCGTCGATGCAATAGTCATACTCATGGACTACGTTATGCGACTGAGAAACCTGCATATAACTAAACATTTGGAGACATGAGCTCAATTGTATTCGATATGCACCATTGGCTGATGTTGTTTATCGAGTGTTGGAGCATTTATTGGTCATGTGTGGAGGTTACTTTGTTGAACATCTTAATGTCATATATCGTCAGCAAATAAGAGAAATCTCGTTTTAATTTCTGGGCAGATGTCGTTTATGAATAAGTTGAACAGTAGTGGTTCGAGATAAAGAACCCTGGGGCATTCCAGAAGTGGCAGAGAAAGGACGGGACTGCTCTCCATCACACCTAACAACGAGGATGCAGTCAGTGAGGTAAATTTTCAGCCAGGAAAAGTAATGGGCCACCGATGCCATAGCCCTCAAGCTTAGCAATCAACAGACGATGGTCTGTTTTGTTGAAGGCTTTGCTAAAATCCAGATAGACACAAATATACTTGGGTGCTCGGTAAATGCATGACATGATTACATTTTGGAAAACGAGTAGAGGTTTGTGCAAGAGGAGCGACCCTGGTTGATGACATGTTGTTCTGGATCAATAAATCTGCCAAGTTGAAAGCTCAAAAAGTCAAGGATAAGGCTTTCATACATTTTGGACAGGGCAGACTGAATGGCAATTGGTCTATAGTTTTTTTATATTGTTTTGCAGCCCGATTTAAAAATAGGAACAACAAAGCTATGCTGGCTTCAGCACCGTCGGAAAAGTAGCCCCTGAGAGAAGTTTTGCAAAGTAAATTTGGAGGTTGGGTGTGAAAACAGAGGCGCAGTACTTCAGTACAACAGGCGGGATGTCGGCTGGGCCGGCTCCTTTATTCGGGTCCAATGATTCCAACTTTCTCTGCACATGCAAAGCTTGAAACTTACAGTTGCTGAGTTGCTTATTCATCGATCAGACCAAAGTCAAAAGTGGGCAGTAGAACGCCAGTCACTTTTGAATAAGACAGAAGAAAAATATCTTGAGAAAAGGTTGCAAGTGCCTTCAGGGTCAGTGGCTTCTACGGGAACGCGCCAAGGCACCACCACGTCAACCCGCCACCAAGTCAACCCGCCATCAAAAAGAAGAAGAAGTTTGAGGTGGCGGGTTGACGTGGTGGCTCGTTGTCGGGGTGGCACGTTGACTCTAGCGTGCACGACAACCCGCCACCTCGGAAAAATGTGTGGTGGCGTGTTGTCGTGGTGGCACGTTGTCCTGGTGGTGCTTAGACATGTTCATACACGTCAACCAGCCACCTCTTTAGTGTGGTGGTGGGTTGACGTGGTGGCTGGTTGACGTCTACGTGCGAGGTGGCGGGTTGACGACACCGAACATTGAGCGTACACGACAACCCGCCACCTCATAAAATAGTGATGGTGGGTTGACGTGGTGGCACGGTGTCGCTTACATGCGAGGTGGCGGGTTGACGAGAGTTAACATGGGGCGTACACGTCAACCCGCCATCTTTGTTGGCAAAAGCCGCTGTTGTCTCTCTCTGCATCACTTTTTGCAGTTTTCCTGGACTTGTGTTATCTAGTTTACTGTTAAGTTAACTAGACATTAGTTATTGTGAATTCATTAATTTTCGACTCGTTTTCCTAAAAAGATCTGCCATAGAAATAAAGTACACGCGCATCCACGCAAGACAATTTTTCCTTTTAATCAACGGTTATTGTTTAAAAAAAAACTTTTGTAAGATAAAAACTCACTACAAATTAACGACTTAGGGTCAT